CACGTCGGCGTTTCTTTCGGGTTCGTTGCAGGGAAGCAGGCTCACCGGTGAGACCACCCAGCCGTCCCTGGAGGCGTGCGGAGGCAGAAGCATCGTGAGCTTCACTTATTTCAGTGGGTCTCGCGAACGTTCTATGGAGACACGGCAATGAAGGTACCCGTCCCATTCCACTCTGACAGGCTCTGCCCGGCAGAAAGGGAGAACCGCATCGTGGGCCGTTCTGGATTTTGGACCCTTATGTCCTTTCTGGTAAATGGTTCCGAGTTCGTGACGGCTCAGATTCTTCGAGGCCCACGATGCATCCATTCCTTGCCTCACATAGCTGCTGAACCGAGCCGGGACGTCTTTCACCGACCGGCAGTAGAGCCGGGTATTGGAGGCTACCCATGGCTGGTGATTTCATAACTGGTCCAGTCCCGAGTACAGAGTACATCCGCCCAGCGGCGTGGTTGCCATTGTTGGGTTGGGGTGCCCAAGACGAGCAGGGCGCTTGAGCCGGGAGCGTTTGGGCTGTCAAAGAGATGTGAATGTCGTGGAACAATTCTCTGGCGCGGGATCGTCGAAATCTCAGCCAAGGACGAGATCCGCGTGCCTCAATGGCTGATTGTGAACGATAAGAGTTGACCCGTGTTCCGACTTTACTGCAAATCTCTGCTCAAGGTGCCGGATCAAAGGCATAAAACATTTCCCAACTTAATTACACCGAGAAGCGACATCGTGAATCCAACCACGCCAACTTATCAAAATCGTCCTCGGCGCAGTGGGCCTCACTACTGCAGTGCTGTGTCCGAATTGGCGAGGGATAAGCAGTGATCGCCGACACAGTCGAGCAGAGGCACAAATCCTAGGAGCGCTAGACAGGGAGGGTAAGAGGACCCAGGCCTCACTGTGAGTCGCGATGGCCGGAGATTTCCATTGAATCGAGCCGATCCCGTCTCGAGTCTCGACCACAGCCGGCTCACAAGTGCAGAAGTGACATTGATGGGCATCGGGCGGGTTGTTGGAGACCATGGCCCGGTGCGCCGTGGCCTCTTTGATCTTTGCGAGCGTTGGTTCCGGAAAGACACTACACAAACGAGAAGTTGACGTACCAGCGGTATGTGGCTTTCAGTGATGCCGTCTCTTCCCGAGACTGACATTGCCAGCCGGCCGGCGATGCTAATCCGGATCGGGCAATCTAACGGAACGAGCTGACCCCAAGTCCGATCGCTTCACGCAGAAGCAGAGCTGGCTCGGCGGCTTTTCTCTGGTTGTCAACGCATTGTCCAATCGCACGGCGACTCCAGTGTTATGACTGATCAAGCTAATGCCGTTGACGACCCAGGCTTACGGTTCCTGCACTCTCGTCACCTCTGTTGTTCAGGCCATTGTCTGGATGGTGGGCAACTCGACTGACTGCCACAATTTGACAGGAGGGTTGCTTCTGGTCCTGTAGTTTCTCGGGCGATCGCGTGACTTTGTCGGCCGCTTAGAATGTGACGATTATGACAACTGTTTAATCACTCATCTTGACATCGCAACGACCCCGAGGAACGACGTCTTGTACTCGCCACAACATGGTTTCTAGCGCTGAGGGACTTTTAGCAGAAAGTGGCATGTCGGCAGATCAGTTGGCGGCATCGCACTTCTTGACGTTGAAGGTGAGCCAAGCAAAAGCTGGGGACTTGCTGCGAGCTCGCGGTATATGCATGAGTTGCGCTTTGTCTCTGAAAGCTGAAGACCCCTTCAGCTTCGGGTACCGCCTTCACGTTCGCTCCTAACGTGCTATTCACAGTCTTCTTCGTCCTTTAAAGTGCGGATGATGACGATGATGCAAGCTGCGCGGCAGGTGGGGACCGTTAGGCCTCGACGAAACCAGCAGAATAACCGTAGCCAAGGACAGGTGAGGGAACTTGGGTGCTTGGGAAGCATCATCCGCGCCGCGTACCCACCCTAGACAATTGACGGTGATGGCGGCTCCATCGTCGACTCCACATGTCTCCCGCTCCGACTTTGACGATGGCACCGTGGTGCCAGCATGGCTTGCTACATGGATAAGGGTAGTTCCAAGACCGCCGAGATGACGATCGTGCTTGATCTGGAGCCTTCCGAGAGCAACCCGGGTTGCAATGGAGGAGCAGTTTTTCCGAGGGATAGAGACATGGTTGTCGAGCAAACTCAATGAAATCAACGACAGCGGCAATACCGGCGACGAAGCAAAACTCGAGTCGTTCGTCAGTGACTGAGCCAGGGTCTATCCTGCTTCACTTTGGCTTGGTGCGAGCGCCGCCCCTGATCGATCGATTAGTGGTTTCCTTGACTCTGAGTGGCTGGCTCATCTGGTGTGCGTCAAAAGCTGGCCCCCTTATCCATGCCAACGGAGAAAATCGTAGTACCTAGTCACTGCCTCGATCGCCAGACGCAGTGTTGTTAGGTATTCAGTTGACGACCCGGGACTGTGGAGCGATGTTTGACGTCGGTAGAAGCCTGAACTGTCTCTTGCACCAATGGCAAGTTGCTTTTCTGAGTTGAGTCTCGCATCGACTGACCACTATTAGTGCCTCGTATTGCTCATCATACGGTCGAAACCGACGACCAAATGCCAACGTGCTCAGCAAAGTTTTTGTATCCTAGGATAAATCCAATGAAACGTGGCTCACAAGCTTGGGAGCAGAAAATACAGAACATCAGGCCATTACACGGCATCAGCATCTTGTCAAGCCAATGCCAAGCCTTGACTGCGTCTTGGACAGCCGTATTGATGATTACTACCGTTGAGAGCTGGTGGGACGTCCCCGTCGCCTTAGGTGCTGCCGCCGAATGCTCCCTGAGGGCCGATGACCTGCACAGCGTTCAGAAGTCTAAAGCTTGGCTGTGAGCGGGCGCCGGAAGTCTTCGCCAAGAAATGTTCGATACGTGCATAGATTAGGAAACTAGACTGCTCTGCCGACTAGGTTGAGTGCCGGGTGGTGGCTTTCCCTGTCCAAAGTTCAAGTCAGTTCGAGGATGCGGATGCCGCATTACCTTAGGGTCTGGTTCGTGGCGCCCAAGAAGGAAGGATGCAGAGACAGGAGACATGCAACTCCGAAACCAGGCGACGAATGGGCACTGCAGAAGGCGTCTGGCATCCAATGGCCATGTCGCACAGTGAGCCCGGAGAAGGACACTTGCATGTGCGTGCCTTTTGATTGTGGAGCTGACTCTGCTGTTGTTCAGAGGTAACTGGAGAAGCCAGTTCAGATGTTGAATTTCGACCAGTGCCGAAGAAAGAGTATGTGCAGCGATTTCTTAGCGACAGGTGGCTGTCCCATTGCGGACTGTAAGCTTGTAGGTTTGCTGCTCATATTCGCATGTTCGTGGTGTTATCAAGGTTTCGTTTCCACCCGTTGGTATTGGACCTTGTCAAAGACATAAATGGGATGAGCCACCTCCATGCGCGCGTTCTTTGTGTGCGGCAGGGTAACCTGAGGAAACGTCGGGCTTGCGGGCGCGACAGCCCTGGAAGGAGGACGTCAAGAAATCTAGATTCTGATCTGCCGGATGGTCGATGGTCTTTCCGCGCGCCACCCACAACGAAACCAAGCCATGCTTCTAATGACCAGCAGTTTGTGGCTGTAGGCTGTAGCGTTCCTCGTCATAACTACGCAGCCGGCTCCTGGGCCGCTACGCCGTGAACAAGTGGATAATCGTCGTCGCCGCCGGCCACAGCTCTAATGTATTGTGTAGGTTGTCCAACGCACGCACTGAAAGGTCCAAAGTGTATTGTGTATCCGTAGCACCGTGATGAAGGTGGAGAAGATCGGTCGGTTAAGGAAACGCACGTTTGTTGGTAGGGCGGCACGGCGGGAGTTGGGCTCAATGAACGGGGATCGAGGACCGCCTTTGAAAATCGGTGACAACCTCAGGAACTAGGGAGACATCGGACCAGGGAGATACCCAACGTTAGGTAGCTGGACTCTAAAGCCTGGACGGGAGTCCAGCCCGTTGCCACCGAATAGTGACATTGACATCGACATTGACAACGGCAACGGGCAAGGCCAAAGACATGTCAACTGCCCGAAGACGGATCAGGCTCCGTTCGGGTTGGGCCGCTGGTCCTGTGTGTTTGCGTCGGTCAACTGTAAATTGTTGAATGATTGGGACCGAAGAAGTGGGATTTTGTCCCCCAATGTGCCGTGTTAGTCACAGACGTGCTAGCCGCCGGGTTGGAGAGTCAGACGAAAAGGTAAGCATCGGTACTCGGTAGTGTATCCGTACCTAGGCAATAAGGTAGGTATTCATACAAATTTAGGGAAAGACAACCTAGTGGAAGAAGATGCGCGAGACACGCACAGCACACGAGGAGGCGTCGCGCAGGTCTATGATGGGCGGTTCCTTTGTTCGATTTGGCGCTGTCACTGCGGCACTGCTAGCACTGGCATTTGGATGTCTTGGTGTCGTCCAGTCTTCGCCAGCTTGGTGCCTGCCTTGCAGACTTGCCACAGGTCGGAGACTTGATTGAATTGTGGTTGACTCTTGTTGTCGATGATATCTGCATCACGCGTGTGTCACTGCGTAGCGGAACATGTCTTGCATGGGTGCATTCCTCGCGAGGCATTTTGGGCAAAGACGTCGTTGGAGTGTGTCCCAACCTTTTGATGGCGAAGGATTTTCCAGTTGGGACTGACTTGTGCAGTTTGCAGACACACAGACTGGTGAGGCGAAGTCAAGTGATGATAGGGAGTCGTTGGTATCTTTCTTTTCTGTCGTTATTATTTTTGGAAGAAATTCCTGATGCTCAAGGTTGTGGTGCCGGTAGTGTTAAGGTACGGATAAACGTATCTGTACGGAAATTCATCCAGCAAATGGTAAGAGAGTACCAGTACGTACCTTGAAGTGCTGCGTACCTTCCAGGTGGACGGCGGGAGGAATGGTACGTGCCTTGTCGTCGGCGCATGTCGCGAAAAAAGGTGAGAGGCTCCAACGGGCCAATGACGAGATGCAGATCATGGCGCGATAAGGCAAGGTACCTGGTCGGAAGTCCCTCGTTCCCTTTCTCCGTAGCTGCTGCCCTTGCCCTTGCTCCTGCTTTCATCTGCCCCTGCCCCGGCCCCCAGTCGTGGTCCCGTTGTCCCCGCTTTGACCCTCAGAAACTAGAGCAGTACGTACCTTTGTCGGGATGGATGGTGAGGATTTGGCCAGCTCGCTTCTCTGTTTTTCGCTGGAGTCTTGTCAACCTCTCAAGCGGCCAAGCCAAGCTCTGCGGCCTGTCGCTCAAGATTTTGTCTCGCACTCTTTTTTCGAATCTTGAACTCGTAGCCGCAGCACGGGCCAAACATCGGCCATCCTTGCCCATCCATCTGTCTTGGACCCCTGCGCTCGCCAGCCAGGCAAGACAGGCCCTTTGCGGCTTTGCCCCATGCCCCATAGCTCGCTGCCTCTCCTGGCTTGGCCAAGACAGCACACAACCTGTTCTCACTTTTCAGGTGTGCGAGTTGTCTCTTTTTTGCAAGGAACAGCGCTTCGAACTGGAGCACGGTATCCATAACTATGCAAGCACGCAGGAGGTCAATTAGATGGGGCACGCGACGTGGTGCGAGGCAGGTGCGGCTACCGGGTCGTATGAGGATCCATTCGTACCTGACTGGAGTCTTGAGTTGTATGGGATTTTCCTGATTCTCTGAAGAACCATCAGTCATCGAGATTCGTGCGAGGGATGGGCATTGGGGATAGATGTGAGGGCGAGGCCAAGAATCGCAAGAAACGGGCATGTGGAGGAGGAGGATACAGAGAATAGAATCGAAACGCTCCTAGGGCGGATTCGACGGAGCTCGTCGTCGGCAAATAGAGTGCAGCATAACGTCGTAGATGGATACCTAAATGCTGGGAACGAAACCCAACCAAAGAGCTGCCCATGCTTTCTACGCCATACGGCATGGTAGGAAGAAGACAGACGGGTCAAACCACTGTGGATGTGGATGGGATTGTGTGAGTCGTGGGTAGCTGCCAGCCTGCCATACCTTGCTGGACATTGCACGTCCCAGTTGAGCTGAGCTAGTTAACATGCCTCGACCTGTCAGTTTTCGGCCGGCTGCCCTAGACTTTGGAGATAATGGCATGTCATCGTAGCTGAACTTCAGATAGATGGGAGAGGCGTACACTACTTGCCGACAATGACGGTCGAGCCGCACATGGGAGGGCCTAGACGAGACGCCACAAAACACTGCGATGATATGTGCTGCAAACGACGTCTGCTTGCTCGTGACGATGGGACGAGATGAGAGAGCCCAGTCCTTATGCGTATCCGTCGTAGCCTTTGCTGCATGGCGCCTGCAGGGTGAGGTTACTGTGTTGGGCGACTGTGAGGTGTTATTGGGGACGCAAAATTAAGCTGCGAACGCTGTCCGTAGATACGCCGGCCATGTCGTTCCACGGTGTTCAACATGTAATGATTTGCCTCATTTACCATATATCTTTGCAACGAATCAATACCTGGGTAATCTGAACACTATCTGTATGTGTTGAGGATAAATACCTGGGTGTCAAATGTACCTATGATAGTGAGGACGTACCTGAGGAGGGTAGCACGACGAAGTACATACGTACTGCGTAAATGGAAGTCAGGAAGGCACTGCAGGATCATGGCTTCGAACGTGCCTTGGGCCGTGCTTGCGCCTCGTTGTACGACCGGGTGCGGATGCTCCTTATCTCTGCAGCAATCTGTGCAAAGGAGAGGAATTCCAGACGGCGACCTGTGCGGATATCCACCAGCATCACCCCGACACCACGCCAATCCCAATCCAGGAGACCCACTCAAGATAAGGTCCTCCTCTGTAATCAGGGCCAATCAGAAGGATGTTGGCCGCGACCCAAGGCACAGACACGCATACTGTGTCTTTTAGCTCACTGTGCACGGTATTCGCAAGGTGCAGGCGCCCCTCCTTCCCGGCCCTCTTCTTTTTCGCAGCGATGAGCGTGTCCCTCTTCCTCCCGTCATCCCGTCTTAATGCTGCACGATGGCCTGTGCAAAAGCGCGAGGCTAATAGCGAGGATTGGATCTCTCTAATCGCGAGGGCGTAAGAGCGCGAGCTCGTCCGAAAGAAGATGAGGAAGAATACAAGAGAAGCAGAGAAAAGAGCGAGCCCAGTCTGAGCAAACGTAGCGCCTTGAACTCCCGCTTTCATGGTAGAATACACAATAATCTTCAGTCCAAGTCCAACATTGCAGGGTCTCCACTGCGGGCGCCGCGCCTACATGGCCTGCGGCCTGTCTTGTCTTGTCCTTGTGTGTCCCGACTCCCGTCGCCATTTCGTCTTTCCTAGGAATACCAGACCCGGTCCTTCCTCCTTGCCCGCCGCCGCCGCCGCCCGCCCCCTCCTCGACCTTTCCGGCCCCCCAGTCGTCTCTATCACAAACGCACACACCCACACATGGCAGCTTTTACACATACATACAGGGTAGAGCACAGAGAGAGAGAGAGAGAGAGAGAGAGAGATAGAGCAGGAGCGGCGGCAGTAGCAAGAGCAGGGAGTGACGTCCAGTATGTCAACCTATGTGTCTGGGAATCCGTCGTGCTTTCCATTCGCTCTCGACCATCCACAGCGACCCGAAACCAAAGGCGCTGCTGAACGTGTGAATGTCCCACTCTTTGCGGCGCCCACCACCAATTCCTTCCTTCCCTCTCCCCAAGAAAAAAAAAAAAAGAAAAAAGAAAGGGAAAGAACAGAGAGAAACCAAACCTCTTGGTCCCCATCCATTTCCCAATTCGCTCACCCACACACCATCATCACCACCAACAACCCCATTCAGTTACCAACGTAACACCAAGTTACCAACCAGCAAGCACCGGCAGCGGAAACACCACTCACTCCCACACACCTCAGTCAGAATCCCGACCCCGACCACGGACTACCTTACTCCTCTCACCTCTCCCTCTCTGTCCCTCACTCTCACTCTCACACATTACACACTCATCAATCACACATACCTACTCATTCACACACCCGACCTCACCTCATCTCACACTCCGCGGGTTTTCTGGCTCGCGCGCTAGGTACTCTCGTACTGTGCACTATTGCCTCCCCTCCTCCCACCCAACCTTGCCTGGCTTTGCCTTGCTTGGCTTTTCGCATCCACACCCACCCACCACACCAAAAAAAGACTGAGATCCCTCGTCTTGTCCCTCCCCTCGTCTTTTAGTCCCGTCCACCCCCCGGAAGTACCTGACCTTGCCAACCTTTCGTCGAACCTCCTGGCTCTTGCCTTCCGTCCCTCTACCCATCCATCCTTTTTTGACTTCACATCGCCTCGCAATACTTCATCTTGCGTCCCTCCTGCGTCTTGCCTAAGCAATTTTGCCTTTCTGCTCGCGACTCTTCCGACGACTATTTCGACTTCCCGACCACGAAATCCTGCAAACCAACCCTTCTCCCTCGCACCACAACGGTCCAACTTCTCGTCCAAACCTTCTCTACTTCACGGCGGGCTCGCTACGATCCATACGTCGTTCCTCGACCTCTTCTACTCACCCAACCCAAATTTACGCCTGCATTACACAATCAAATCGCTCCTACCATTATGGCAATCTAAAGCCCGAACCGTCGTTGCGATTCTCTTTCTCGGCCGCCGTGCGAGCCTCGTTCTTCGTTCTCCCACGCCCCTCATTATGTCGAATCGCCGATTGAGACTTTCACGACCAGTCGATCTTGAGCGCTTCCACGCATACTATGGACCCACAACAGTCTCTTCCTCACCAGAGGAACTCTCACAACCCTCATCTGCTGGCCCTTGTGCCGCCCACCTCCAATCCTCTATCTCTGAGGTCTTCCGCTAGCACGCCAATGACCTCACCGGGGCTTTTCAGTCCCTCAAACCCGCGTCCGAAAATGAACTTTCCGATCCACGCCTCGTCCGACTCCAACACCCCCAACGTCGAGACGAGCAGTCCCTATCTTCACCCACTTCAGAACCACAAAGTCAGAGAGTGAGTCAAGCTCTTCCTTCTTGCGCTATGTCATTCTGCGGTCGCGACTTCCGTTGGTCAAAATCTCGATCTACCAGTCGAGGCGGTATCGTGACTACGTAATCGACAGCGGGGGCCAACCGCGGGCCCCGCGACAAGGGGATGACTATCTGATAAGCTAACCATGTCGGTGACCAGGACACACAAAGCCTTGATTGACTCTGACAGCATCACCGGCCGCAAACTCATCAACCAGTACGAAGTCATCGAAGAGATTGGCAGGGGCGTGCACGGAAAGGTCAAGCTCGCCCGAAATCTCAATACTGGCGAAAATGTGGCTATCAAGATCATTCCGCGGTACTCCAAGAGACGCCGACTCGGCAAGGTCATGGCCATGTCTCCGCAGGAAAAGACGATGAGAGAGATTGCCATCCTCAAGAAGATGAGGCATCCCAACGTCGTCTCGCTCCTGGAAATTATCGATGATCCGGAATTGAAAAAGATCTATCTGATTCTCGAGCACGTTGAGCTAGGCGAGGTTGTCTGGAGAAAAAAGGGATTACCACACATCTGCCACCACGAGCGTCGTCGCATCGAGAGAGAATCTAGAGGCCAGCCGCTAACTCCAGAGGAGGAGCAATACGAAAGGATTATGGAAGAGCGGTATAAGATCCGGGAGCAAAAGAGGGAAAAGATGTCCCGAGCCAACATGAGCACACACGAGCACTGGAGTATTGAGCATGGCCTTTCCGACGATGCCAGCTGTGGGTCTCAATCCCGCGTTCCCTCGAGGGACGATCTGGGCGCTCTGGACTTTTTTGGGGGCGAAGGATCACAACCCAATTCGCTGCAGGCATCTCGGGCCACATCTCGAGCGCCATCGCGATCCCAGTCTATCAAGTCGATACGCGATGCCCTTTTCGACCAGGAAGCTATCGATGACACCGAAGACATCGAGACGCCAGGCCCGCTACAGACAAGCAACCCAGGCTCAGCCACCGCACTCGATGGAACGATGTATGGTGCTTACATGGAAGATGCGGCCTTTCGCGGTCGTTCACCCAGCATGGCTGATTCCATTATTTCGCACATGTCCTCGGTCGACTGGAACTCTCGGATGCACGACCCATTTGCTGAAGACTTTTCTTACGTTCCTTGCTTTACCATTGAGCAGGCAAGAACCACTTTCCGAGACACTGTCTTAGGCTTGGAGTACCTGCACTACCAAGGTGTCGTACACAGGGACATCAAGCCTGCCAATCTGTTGTGGACCAAAGATCACCGTGTCAAGATTTCCGACTTTGGTGTTTCGTACTTTGGCCGCCCCATCCGAGAAGGCGAGGCCGACGATGAGACAGTCTCGGAATCCGAAGCACAAGACTTTGACGACGATCTCGAGTTGGCCAAAACAGTTGGCACCCCGGCATTCTTTGCACCTGAACTGTGCTACACTGATGCGGACCGCATGGAACAACCGAAAATCTCCGAGATGATTGATATTTGGTCACTTGGCGTAACACTCTACTGCCTCATCTATGGACGTATTCCTTTCCAGGCCGAAGATGAGTGGCAGATGTTCCGGAAAATTGCTACAGAGGATGTCTTCATCCCCAAGAAACGCCTCAAGGCAGTGGACCCTTCTACCCCTCCCAACTCCGAATCTCTCTTCAAGCGGCATAATGTGCCCCCTTACAGAGACGACAACGAACTCGCCTACGAAAATATCGACCCTCTTTTGCAGGACCTCTTGCGTACCATGTTTGCTAAAAACCCGGACAAGCGGATTCGGCTGAAAGATATCAAAACCCACGCTTGGGTTGCGAATGGCATTCCAGATATGGAGGTGTGGTTGAGGGAAACTGACCCAGCAAAGAATACGGGGAAGCGGGTCCAGGTCAACGACAAGGAGGCAGCCCGTGCCGTCGTGCCTATCGCCTTCCTGGAACGCGCACGATCTACTGTGAAGAAGGCAGTTGGAAAGTTGATGCACCCTTTAGGGGATCGAAGCGATAGCCGTTCAAGACGGAGGGCTGCTAGCAGTGCTGCCAGCTCGGCTGGAGACAGCATGTTCAATGTGCCGCCTACGCCACACTCGAGAGAAGCACGCAGGAAGAGTCTCAAGGGCGAAGACTACTTCTCAAACGTCAAGGACTTTGCGTTTGGCGGCTCCGACCATCCTCTCGTTCACAGCGAGACTGTTTCCCCCTACGAGTCTCCCTACGACCCTCTCGCTACGGCTATCGCTCAACCCGTCAAGGGCCAAGGGGTTGCCCTTTTACATGCCATCCAGAATAGCTACAACGAATCAAGGACAAATAGTGGCACCGCGTCGCCATCGGATCAGTCAACGATACCTGGGACAGCGTCATTTCACAAACCGTTTCACAGATATTCCCAAAGTCCGTCGAATGGCAACAGCTTTTTGACGTTGACAGCCGGACTACCTGAGGTTAGGACACAACCTCCAACGCCTTTCGCCGGCGACACTACACTAGACGACCCAACCAAGGAAATGCGGCAAACACGTGGATATGACGCCTTGACAGAGGAAGCTCTGCGTGCACGCTCAGCCGAGCGTGGCGTATTCAGAGACCACGACAAGCGCGCTCCAGCACAAGTGAGTGTCACCACGGCGAGCGTACCCGGCACCCTTCACAGGATGCCCAGCCTTCCTGGCAAGCCTCGCGCTATGCGATCGGTTGACTTGGGTAAGGCGAAGCAGGCTACCAGCGGCCTAGCTTCACCATTGTTCTTCTCGCCTCGGTCTGTGACTGGCTACCAGCACGGTCAACCTCAATCGGACTCAAATATCTACGAGAACCAACGACTCACGGCCGACCTAGAGGAGAGGCCACAGACAGCACACAGGATTGAAAATGTGCGGGATGTACCTGAAGCAAGGACGCCACCACCGCGGATATACAATACGTCGACTCCTGAGTCGTTTGCCCGAGCAAAAAGCGAGATGCAGCGCAAGCAAATCGCAGAAAGTCTTACCCAGCAAGTTCCGGACGACGTCAGGTCAGACATTGCCGTGATCGACCCAACCGATGTGCCTTGCCCTCTGTCGCCCGACGATGAGTTGTTCGGCACGCCGCCGCCTCCTTCCCGTGAGGGTACAATGGAAACCGGGCAGTCCTCACGCTCCGCATCCATCGGTGGACTGGCCTCTCCTATTACGAATCCTAGCGAAGTAGCAAGTCCTGTCTCATCTGTCAACCACCACACGAAAGAGGAAATGCTCGCCTTCCAATCCGACCCTTCGCTTCCCGCCCTTCTAAGCGGAGCCAGCTCCGTTTCCGACGCTGAGCCTGTAGAGCTTGTCTTGGTCAACAAGCCCGGTTTACTCGAGACGACAGATTCCGTGACACCTCCGGCATACGTTAAGGAACCCATGGCTGGATTTCCATTGGAACAGTACGAGCAACAGGGGCGATTCGAGGCACACAATGCGTCGTTCAATACAGCTCCGATATCGCTTAGCATCTCATCCGGCCCGGTGTATCGGAGCCCGCCACCCATTCACCGCAGTCCAGACATGCGTCCACAAGATGACGATGACGACGACAGTGACAGTGACGAGGGTCTTGTGATGGCGAAGACGAAGAAGAAACCTTCAACTAATACTCACGTCGAACGCATACCTTTTGGCGCGAGGCGACGCGACACGAACGCGAGCATTGCCAGTACAGAGACGGCCAAGAAGGTCGTCATTCACGGCGAAGAAGTCATGACCTACGCCGACTGAATTTAGCGTGCTAAGCTTACTCGGCATGCGACTACCTATCCAGGTCGCGGTACACTACTACAAACACGCCACTCGACTCATACATTTTCAGCCTGTACAGTGGTTTTCGGGATTGGCTTTTCTGATGCAGCATTTATACACAGTCGGTGGACCTTTTGAGTTTTCCGCCTGCGTGTTCAACTGCTTGAACACTGCCCATTTTCTTGCTTACAGCATATCCCAAGAACAGCATGCAATCAGATTGCACATTTTCTAGTGGCACGTTTGTGCCACCAGTCTCGGTTCGAGCGCGCTTCCTTTTCATATAGAGAAGATCTGCAACGGCGGCAGTCTTTTGCTTTGACGCTTCTCTCCTTCATATGCCACGATGGTTTGCGGATGAACCATCAGAGCAGACTGAGACGACGACGACGACGACGACATGTTGCTACGAACGGAGGAGAAATGACGGGGGGACTACGGAAAGGAGAAAGGTTGGGAGGATCGTCCATCACAGGAGACCTGGGGGGTTTTGGGACAGAGGAGGATGATGCATTGACGATTAGACTCTTCCTCTTTTCTTTTCATTTGTCTGTAGTGGGAGATGACGAGCGGGGCAAGTCGGACTTGGATAAGGGTCTATAGTCGTCTCGGCTCATCGTTTCCACAGCCCAAGAAGTTTGAACACTTTTTCTTATCTAGCATCGACAGCGAGGTTTCGGGAGGGGGTTTGCGTTTGTAATGGCGGAGGGGGGGGGGGGGGGGGGGTTGATCATCTGGGACCGGGTCTATTCCCAAACAGGACGGCGCTTCTTATTTTTCGGCGCTTTTTGTGGAGGAAATCTTCCATGTACACACCCCAAATCCAAACCACAGATAGTGAGAGAGAAGTGATGAGAAGATTTGTCACGAATAGAAGTGATGAACTCATTTTCTTGGGTCATAAATGATGATTGCTTTGCTACTGTGATGTCTTGTCCGTGTTTACTATGCCTTTTCTTTTCCTTGTTCACCATTCAGTGCTCACATCAACAAGTCATTGGTCGAGGCAGCCCGTGTGGATTAGCTCGTCGTGTTGACATGGAAATCCACGTCTGTTTGTATCGTCCTGCAACAAGGCATATCCTCTGGTCAGTTATCATCAGCTCAAGAGTCTACGTAAATTAATGAAACATTGAAAGCAAACCAGCACAACACAAATCTGCTCATGCACTATTCCGGTGACGCTCGAGAAAATGCTGTCGCTGAAAACAGGCCATCACCAATCAATCTCACCAGCCTAGTCTCCAAGTTGCCACTCATACTACTGCAATCCACGTCACTAAATGACAGACGGCGTAAAATCCATCAGCGAGTTGGGGAATTCTGGTATTTGTGTGTCTAGTGATCTACCCCGTAAGGGAAAAGAAGGGAGCACGACCTTATGAAGATGACAAGTATTACGCGATACAAACAGAGTAGCTCGATCTCCCTTCCCTTAATATGTTCATCGACCGTCCTCCACTACCGTGAACCACCACCAAACCTCCCGATCTTCTTCCAATCAACGCCAGATCGACTCCACCACTACAACCACAGCCCGAGACTACGGTAAATTCCAAGACAACAAACTTGAGATGAACCGCGAGTAGTCAGTTCCCCCCTCCAAGTCCACATTTAGAAACACGCCTTCCCTTCACAACCCCCCAGCAATCCTCCCCTCGCCGCAACTCAACCATTCGGAAAGGGCCACCTACGCAGTGTCAGCATTAGGCGCCCCCATGACGCCGCGACCAAACCACTCAGCCACCGTCGCGAACCGATCCTCGCTGCGCTCCAGCTCGGCTTCGAACAGCTCGTGCTTCCCCGCCGTCTCAATCTGCGTCTTGCGCAGCGCGCGGATCGTCGCATTGTCGTTGGCGCACTGCGGACACTCTCCCTCCGTACGCAGGCACCGCTGGTGGAAGCTGTGCTTGCAGAGGAAATGCACCGCTGGCAGGTCAAGGGGCGCCGTGCAGACGGCGCAGCGCGTCGACTGGAACACGGCCGGCTTGGAGCCTAGATCAGCGAGCTCGGCCCGCTTCTGTTCCGTCTCACTGCGGAAGGCAGAGATGCGGCGCCGATTGGCCGCGATCTCCTTGCGCTCGCGCTCAATCGTCTCGTGGAGGTAAGGTTTGATCATGCCCATTGTCGCGACGCCGCCCGAGGAGCCGGACTGGCCGACTAAGGTCTGGATAACCTGCAACGGCGCCATGAGGCCGTCCTTGTCGATTTTGTTGAGAACGGCGGAAAGCTCCTCTGAGCCGGCTTCCTGGAGAATTCGGGGGTCGGAAGTCAGATATGCCAGGGCTGCCGGGTACAGTTGTGGTTCCTCGGGGCCATATTTCCGGAGCGCTTTGATGGCTCCGCGGGTATCTTTTGCTGAGGTGTAAGATCGGAAGATGTCAAAGAGAAGGCCGGATTGCTCTTTGACTAGGGTTGTGCCGTCCTTGAAATCAGAAAGGTGAGAAAGCAGCAGGACATTGGAACTCTCCATCGGAATGTCCTCCCCTTCAATGAGTTTCTTGGCCTTGTTCTCCCACTCTTCCCGATGCTGCTCCCCCTTCTTCTCATTTGACTTGTGTAGGTACATTTCAAAGAGTGTGGTGTACAGGTCTGTCCTGTCGCTCTCCTTGAGACCGGTGTCTTCAAGGCATGCCTCCAAAAAGACAATAAACTCGTCTGGATGATCAATGAAAGATGAGAATGCTGTCCTTGGAGGTGGTGGCGTGTATTTCGGCGCAGGAATGTCGTCAGGGTTCAAGATGATTTGAGCATCGCCGTTGATGGCTGTTCCGTTGCCCGGTGTGGATGGGCTTTGGAGAGAGGATGTGTTCATATATGGCAGAGGCAGAAAGTTCGAAAGATTCTGTACCGCACTTGCTGCACCGGCCACCATGCCGCCAGCCACAACAGCCTCTCCGTTGTCCTCAATCGGCACAAACTGTAGCCTCGGACGGTACTTGCCAGTGTAGTAGTCAACGAAGACAGTGGTCGCGTCTTTTGGACAGTTCTCTATGAGGACTCTGGCATACTTTTTAAGACAAGGGAATGCCTATTGAAGGGTCAGAATTGGTCAAAACTTGTGGGATAAGCACGGCACTCACCACTTCAGGGTCTTGATGCCATATAAAATCGAGAGCCTCGTTGTACAGCTTTGAATCTTCTATCAGGATGTCTACGACCAGCTCGATCTCGCCGTGCTTCTTAGCTAGGTAGGCGGCTTGTTCGTAGTAGCCTCCTTGCCTACACATAGTAATGGCAGTCTCGAGATCAAACTTTAAATCACCGGGAGATTTGATGAAGGCCTCTAGCTTATCGATATCTTTAAGCTTGGCATAACAGTTCAAGAGCAATGTGGTGTGATCTGACGTTGCCTTGCGATGCTCGTGTAATTGTTCGAGATACTGTATTAGGTTATGTATCCGTTGGGTATCGAGGAACTGTGGTTGTTAGTCTTGCTGTGTTCCATTCCTTCCGGCTGATAAAATTTTACCTTTCTGATGACCTGTGATGGCTCGGTTGTATCAATCGCTTTGATGTACTGGACCATAGCACCGTCATAATCAGCTTTTTGATAGAGATGGTCACCAAAGCGTCGAAAGATGCCGCTCTGCTGTGTCACATCTAGCCGTGACTTTTGCGCCAGTTCAATGGCTAAGGGGTATATGTTGCGCTGGTACAACATTTCTAGGCGCTGTTGCAGTGACTTTTCGTGGTATCGGTTGACCTTGCCGTCTTGTGTGAGGACGAACAGATCGCCCCAGATCTGGAAGATGGCCTTGAACGGCGAGATCAGAGACTGTGTGTGGCCGAGCACTCTGAGGTCCGGCTCGAGGAGAACGAATGTTGACGCGTTGAAGAGCGCGTCCGCTGCTCCACCTCCGCCTCCAAATCGGCGACGCATAGTGTCGGCCCCTTTGTCGGTCGTGGAAGCCGACGGTGGGCATACCAGAGCAACGTAGTCCTGGTAGATCGAAACCAGTCTTTTCGGCGATTCGTACGCACGCGGCGCTCCTCTGCCTTCCAAGGTGTAGGTGTAGATGGCATCCTCTCGAGCAACTACTACATCTCCTGTCTTCTTGTCAACCGTCATACAGTCGACGTGGCAACCCATGTCTTCAACAGTCTTGGGCGGGGAGCTGTGGCCCCTTCTCGAAATTCCCAGCTTCAGAATTCGGGCTGTTGTCGAGATGAATAGAGTCGTGACATCTTGGGAATCCGTCATAAGCTCCACGCCCGTGATAGGTTCCTCCGAATCGTGTACCGTTCTTTGTTTCGCTCCCAGGTCGTTGATCAAATCGCCTCGAATCAGGGTCACTGTGCCGTTCGCGAAGCCGACTGCAACTTGGGTAAGATTGTCGAGAACGTCGATAGCCGAGATCTGGATGCAAAAGTGGTTGGTCAATGCTTTGGAGATATGCGCTCAAGGCGTCTCTTACCGGAAACTGCTTCCTGCCATTGTTGATCTGCAAAGTGCTTAGACAAGTAGGCATGTTTGTCTTCTTCACCAGCTTGTCCAGAGCCCATATCTTCAACACCGGCTCGCTGCTGAGGTCCTCCTACTCGACTGTTAGTTATCACACTCGCCATCTGGCGACTGTTGAATCCACCTACAGCAACCGTAACAAGTAGGCTTGTTCCCTCGATCTGGCGCATGTGTGTAATCGTCCCGAGCTCGTGAGCCTGGAAGCTCTTTACCACCTTCCAGCTCGACCCAACGATTCGAACGTATCCATCGTAGCTACCGAGAAATAGACTGTCGGAACCGGAGCAGACACTAGCGATCTCGTTGCTCTCGAAGAAGACTCGGGTCTCCTCGTCGGCGAGCCGGACCTGGCTGACGTCGAAGAAGTCGAATGCCTTCCACTTCAGCAGAGGTCGTTAGCATTCGTTGGCTCGCGGAGCATAGCTTGAAGAGAATCCGTAAACAAACCTGAAAGGCCATGGCTACATCTCCTAGCGACAGCAAGCTGTGAGAAAGGCAAGGTCGGTAAGCGTGGGCGCAACGGCGGTTGTTGATTGACGTCGGTGCCTCGTGCTCCAATGACGCCGCTGTGGGGAGCTTTTGGAGCTGTCGCTGTCGCTACCTACCGCTGTTCTCCGACCATTGGTGACCCACCCGTCTGTGGCAACCTCACCCTGCAGGACCAAAGCTCCCCGACCTAGGCCGTACGCCACAGATACTCACCAGCCACACTTGTAACCCTTCCGTCAATCAGGTCTTTATTATGTCAATAAGCATGTTATTAGGCATCTCTGAGTAAGATTGCACATCTTACAGCTAGAGATTCAAGCTCAGTTTGCCTTTGCAGTACTCAAATTACACCTAACTTCGATAAGCTCCGACATATGAAGGGCTTGCCTGTCACATTTTCACTCAGATTTAATGTCACCTTCGATTCCGAATTCCATGTGGAATAGAAGAGTACATCAGTTGACGCTGCATAAATCAAGATGGAAGGGCGCCTGGAACATGAACCAATAACGCGAGGAAATGCGATTTCCGTTACGAACAAGTCTCTTATAAAGTAAATGGTTCGTGGTGGTTCCTGCCATTAGCCAGCTACTGACCAGCACGACCGGGTTTACACCAAGCTAACGCCCCAATAATTCAGATTTGAATCAGAGTGCCTACTAGCAACGGCAACTGGGCTGTTTCCAGTCCTTCTAGATGAGAACGTGCCGTCTCAGACTCTCGATGAGACCTGATGCCTTACTCGAACTCTCATGTTGTCAACCGGCCGGGCGGTGATTTGTCTCGTCTATGATACGTTAGCGACGCGTGCTCTTGGACACTTCTTCAAACGAAAGGCTTACGTTGTAGAGCTGTGTGTTGGACCTGTATTGCCCCTTTTCGTTGATGATTAGGCGGTTCTTCTCATCCAGCGTAGCCTCTCCTAGGCCAACCTTCTCGAATACATACTTGCCCACAACACTAGCCAAAATCACCCTGGCCTCGATATTAGCAAGCTCCTGTCCAATGCAGTTCCTGGGACCCCTCTCGAAGGGTCTCCATGCCGCGGCAGGGATCTCGTTCTCGCCAGCTTTGCCGATGCCCATCTTCTCATCATCGTTCGTTGCCATCGACGTATCCGTGTTACCGAGCCATCGCTCAGGTACGAAATCGTCTTTGGTGCTTCCGTAGACATCGGGATCTCGCTGAATCAGAGTGGCGCAGTTGTACAAAACCATCCCATCGACGCAGAGACTGCTGTTGTCGGGTAACTGGAGGTGAAAGTTCGCGCCCGGGGGGCAAAGTCGTGCTGTTCCAGCTGGTGGGTACAGACGCAGAATCTCCTTAATGACTGCCGAGGTATAGGTCATCTTCTGGGTGATCTCCTCGCCTCTGGCAAGCAGAGCTTCACGGACTACCTCGGGGCTCAAGTCCTGGCCGAAAAGGCTCTCCAGTTCAGCTCGAAGGCTCTTCATTGCCCGAGGCGTCCGCGATAGCTCGTAAAAGGCCCACTGCAAGAGAATACTGGTGGTGTCATGCCCTGCGAACATGAATGTTTTGAGCTGATCCTTTGTCCCGTCGATGATGTCCTGTGTCAAGACATGTGTGTCTTTCAGGCTGAGGGCCAGGATGCTGCGGCTCGTTGACCCCTTGTCCTGCTGCACATCGTTAAACTTGCGTCGAATGACATCCTCGAGGAAGATGTTGCAAGACTTGGCAAGTCGCCTTCGTTTCCTGCCAAGCTGTGGGTTCTCCCACCACTTGAGTATACCACTGCCCTCTCTATAGGAGGTCAGGAACTCCTTGTAACCCCTGATGAAGTCTCCCTGTTGGTCCTCAGGAAGCTGTGCGTTAAGATCGACATCCATCGTCACGGCGCCTAATCGGGTGGTTGTTAGTGACGTGTGGCTGTGAACACAGAAACATGGCTAGACTTACCTATGATGTCGAAAGTGAGATTGGTGCATAGTGGCTCTAGCTCAAAATCTTCACTCGTACCAGCGAGCTCGTCGAGTTTGGCGAGGAAAGTCTGAGTCTTTTCCAAAATCACTGGCATCAGGCTCATGAGGTGCTGGGGAGCGAAGCCAGGGTTGAAGTGCTTTCTCATGTCTTTCCATCCGGAGCCCTGCGAGAAGAATACACATTAGGTCACGTTCCTATGAACTTCTTCTGCACTCACAATCTGTGGAGGGGGGTTTGTTGGTAATATGTGCGGAGCTCCTTACTTGGGACATCACGATAGACTTCTCGCCCAGAAGCGGTGTGAGATACATCATGGTGTCGGACTTCGGTGCGCTATAGGGCCACATCTTTGACTGTCTCGATACCTGTTCCGCGATTTCATGGCTTCGGATAACAAGCAATGGTCGGCTGACTGGACGAAGATCGAGAAGCATGATGGGAGGATTCCCAATCTCCTCGAGCATGTCTCCCATCGTAGGATCTACGAAATCTGAATTAGCCTACGCAGCATCCCACGTCGCACGTCGCCAACACTCCTACCGAGCTGAGAGTCCTTCTCATTGCGCCTCATGTGATGTTCGTTTATGGCCTTGAGATGACCCCACACCACCGAAGGCTTCAGCTGAGGGAAATGAGCATACTGCTTCAGCCGGCGATAGCTGAGCGCGGAGTACAGGTACAACAGAAGCGCCGGTAGCGCCAAAAGCGCTACAGACAAAGGACTTAACATGGAGAAATATCACGCTCGACTCCCAAGCGATCTCTGCCAGAAAGTCAAAGTAAGTTCGGATGCAGGCCCCAGAGGTAGCAGAAAGCTGTCAACTGGGTGTGGTCATGGATATAAAGGGCGGTGGTTCTCATACCAGCCCGCATCGGGTGTGTAGATTCCGTTTCAGCAGGCGCATGGATGAGCAGTCCACCCCGTTCAGTCTGGAACCCAGTCGCCGCCGCCAGCGCGACCAGCGCTATGATGCCTCGACTTCCCAGTAGGAGCGCGCCGCTTCGCTTGCTCGCTTGCCTCAAGGACGTACTTGGCTAGGGTAAGACACAAACATTGGGAGAGTGGTCCACAACCGCTTTTCAGCTCCTCCATGATGCCTACTCCTTTGTTGGTCTTTCATTGGTCCATGATTGTCAGTTCGAGGTTGTCCGCCCCTAACGAGTGAAGAATGTAGCCAATCTCATGTTTTAGTGGCTCGCGTGGATTAGCACATTGCGGGAAGGTTGTCATGCCGAAGCCAAGAAATCCAGTCATAACCTTGAATAGCGGGAAGACGCCGGATGGTTTGATTGCCCCTTCCCGGTACTTGGGGTCGTTGATCTCATGACTGCGCGGTTCTGGTTGGCTAGATCCCTTGTATCCATGTGTTTGCGGCACGTTAGGGTGACATCACCCCGGTTCAGATGTGCAGGAGTAGCGGGCTCCCCCGCTATGATCTCCGCATTTCTCACACTCAAGTAGTGTTATCGTCCCTGGGCTTCGCTTTTGGCAGCTTTTCCGAATGTCACGAGTACGAGCCATCCACAACCTCGGACTTGAGCTTCACCGATCACATCAAATCTCATTTTGGAGGCTGAATAATCTCTTATCACCCATCGTGTTCTGAGTCTCAGGTAGGGATTTCAGATAATTGGTTTCTATCACGGAACGTCGGCGTACACTCTGACGGACCATGGCTATCAAGCATCCTGGGGTCCATGGCCACTGTGTCTTGGTTTCGCAGCTACACACCGCTCAGTAGCTAGACGGCACGATTCCAAGCCTTCCACCATCTGTCACGAGTACATTGCCGTTGGTGTAGGCGCCTGCCCTGCTAACTAAGAATAAAACCGCTCCAGCCATATCTTCTACGTCTCCCGCCCTCTCTTCCGGAATGGTGGTCTTCGGCCAGCCGTCCTTGTGCGCATCCACTGTTGCTGTGGTCATCTCACTCGGGTAGACTGGAGTTCAAGATCAGTAAGTGTTTCCAAGGTCTGACTGAGGGACTTCGCGCCCAAACGCCAAGTTCAAGTATTCCGAAAGGAAATGGAATAGTATACTTACACCCAGGTGCAATGACATTGGCACGGATGTTGAATGGAACCAGTGTGGTGCTTCTAGATGGACGTTAGTAACGATATTGGCTCTGTCAACTTGCTGGGGATTGCCTACAATTGCTTGAACATATGTACCACGGCTGCCTTTGAGGCACCGTAGGCGAAACCCATTGGGTTGCGGTTGTACGCGCCAATGCTGCTGGTCGCGATAACTTGGCTCCTCTGCTTGAAGTTGCTGCGCTTGTTGCCCTCATCAAGGAGTTCGAGAAATGCAGCAACCGTGAAGAACACTCCAGTGGCGTTCACAGCGAAGGTCTCAGTGAAATCCTTCTGTTCCCAGCCGAAGACGAAGTCGCGATACTGAGCAATGGTTGGGTTGGGAGGCAAGCCCTTGAGAGCCGGTCCGCCGATTCCTGAGTTGGCGATGACGACGTTGACGTATCCGTGGGCCTCCTTTATCTCTGCGACGGCTCGCTCGAGGTCGCTCTTTGAAGTGATGTCACCTTGGATGGTGCGAATGTTGTCGTTTTTCTAATCACATTTGGGGCACCAGTATCAGTCGTCATAACCATTATACCATGCACAGCTACGCTGGGCGATGGCCCTGGCTAGGTATTCAAAAGCCTATGATAGCTAGGCTCAACGCTCTCATTGAAACTCACAGCTGTCTTTGCCGCCTGTTCCAAGGCTTCTTTCCGTCGGCCGATGATGTACACGATAGCACCATTCGCCTCGAGGCCTTGTGCAATCATGAGACCAATACCTAATTCGAAATATGAGTGAATGTTGGAAGGTCCCTATTGCGGCTGAATGACGTACCAGTTCCCCCACCCGTGACTACGGCGATGAGGCCCTTGACGCCGAAAAGGTCAGCAGCATTGAGATTTGGAGAAGCCATCTCGTGATTCAAAGATCAACAAACGATTCCTATGCAAAAGATGTAAGGGAAGCGATTGAGTGTGCGGTTCTTGGGTTGGAAAAAGTGAACCTCCGAATGATTAATCCCAATAGTTTAAGTATCACTGGAGTCCGGCGGGGTTCGGTGAAATGACCCGTACGTGCATCAAGTACGTTATCCATCATAGTGATCACTTGCGAGTGGCTGCTGACTGCATGCAGTCTGATCCCCGATGTTCGGATGTTGCGCGGCCCTGATTAGTGGATAGCGACTCGCTGGGCTCACATTAGGCTTTTGCATGTCGGGGAAAGCGGCAATCAATGCTTCTAGTCCTTCTTTGCGCATTTCCCGGCAAGACCTGTTAACCTCAATGCATCGGACCAACACCCAGGTCTTGGAAGACCTTGAAATATAAACTCACGCATGGAGCCGATGGAATGGATGTTAGTACATGTTGACAAGGTGCAAAATTTGCTTCGGACGACTTATACGGCACTACTATCTTATATTAACGACTTCACTTTGACGGATGTTCGTAAGTGATTGTGCCCAAGACTTGATGAATCAAGTCCGAATTCCCTAGCAATATTCAATGCTTTAGACACGAATAAGCTCATTCCGGAATAACACTGTCTCTTCCCGAGAACCAATAAGGCATCGAGACCTCTACAGGCTCTCATCAGGGCTCCTCAACCAACGTCCTAGTCCAGCTCCATCTCTGGGCACAAACTTCGCCTGGAAACCTTTCGGTGAGGCAACAAACGAGAGGCCGTTAAGCCCTTTGATCGGATCGATCTCTACTGAGGTCTTGCCATCCGCCGGCAAGATATTGAATCGGGCGATCAAGTGCAAAAAGGCTGTGTATAGAGCGCCGTGTGCGAGGTGAGACGCCACACACATACGTCCACCCATACCAAAGGCGAAATGATGCGCGTATTGATCGGGTGCATCCGGAAGCCAACGCTCAGGGTCAAATACTTCAGGCTCCTTGAACAGATCAGGGTCTGCCTAGGTGGTCAGCAAAACGTAACGCTTCATTGGAGTCACGGCAAGTTACCCCTGTTACAGGACCAGCTATTCAAGAAAACCAGAGTGTTGGCCGGGATTGTGGCGGACCCCCAAGTGACATTAGCGTATGTTGCCTTGGGTAGTGCAAGCTTCAAGACAACAAAGTACCTCGAAATCTCTTTCGTCAGCGCTTCTATGTAGTCAATCTTGGTAGAAGCGTATGTGTTGGATGGTTGCTGTAGAACACCAGCATCTCGAATGGCGGCATATGCTTTGTCTTGTATATCAGGGCGGTGTGCGAGTAGAAGAATAGCCCAAGCTAAGGTTGGCTGGTTTGAATCGGCGCCCTGGAACATGTCAGGGTAGGTCCACCATGAGCTTTCGGTTGTAACCTAGGTTGAGCTTACTGCCATCATACTCAGACTCACGCTTATCAACTCTTCTCGTGTAAGACTTGCCGACTCGGGATCCCTCAAAACAGCGCCTTGAATGCAGGGCTTGTCTTTGCCCTGAGCAATTTCGTCCTTGAGTCGGCTTAAGAGAACGTCATTATATTCCAGTCTTCGACGGCCAATATCCATTGCGTGATTCTTCGGGGTAGATTGTAAACCTAAAACGCTCGCAATTGGTTCCCAGTATCGCAGCAAAGGTATGTAGTTGATGTAGTTCTTTCCAGTATCCCGAAACTTTGAAATTTCGGATTCGACGTAAATGATCTCGGACAACAGGGGATCGTCATCTAGGGACTTGACATTGGAGGCCCTTGTCCCATAATTGAGGGTCAGACTTAGATTAAGGGAGAAGCGCCTGACAGCTGGACGGAAGTCGAGATCCACCAAACCACCGCGGCAATTTTCGTACAAGTCTTTGAGAAACTCTCGTGCCTCCAAGTTCAGAATGGGCGCATAGCCTTCTACCCGCGGACGATTCAATGCCCCAGCTGCCAGTTTGCGGCGACGTTTACAAGAGTCGTCCCATGGGCTGGTGCCGATACTAGTAACAGCTTTGCTTACTTTTCCATGAAAAACGTAGAATGTTGGTCGAGAGTTCATGGCATGACGTTGTCCAAGGAATAGCTGCTTGGCAGCCTCCGCGGTGTTGACGACAACAGCCGTGGTATTTCCTAGCTGTATTTGGAACACTGGCCCATACTTCTTTGCCCAGACTCGATATGTCTCTGCTGGCACTTGGGCTGGTTTCTATGTAATATCAGTTAGTTCATTTCTCAAATCCCGATTCCTCAAGCTCGGGATGGGTATGTAGAGATTGAAGTACCTGAAAAAGGTTGCCAACAACAGGCCAGCCAAGGGGCCCAGGAAAATTTTTGATTCTACTTCGATATCTTGCAATTTCGTTTTGTAGTAAATAGACTGTAAGAACAACAGCAGGGAGGACCGCAACATGTCCCAAAAACGAGATGGTGAACGGGGAGGAGAAAGGGTGATTTTCGGTCATCTTCAGAGATTGAAATGAGAATCGGGATTTGGCAACAAAGAGACCTCTGTGTCTTAGTTTTGGCTTGAGCAAATTGCATTTTAAAAAAGCTCGTTGAAGTAAATTCCTCAACACGTTACTACTGGCTCCCAAGATGCGCTGACCATCAACCCCACCATGTCGCAATATCTGGACCTCCATCGATCTTCTGCACTCATGCAGTCAAACATGAACATGAGGGACGCGATTGAGTTTGGTAGGATTATACGAGCACCAGCAGGGATTCACTTTACCCGAATACCGTCAACCTTGCTTTAGGGAAGCCTTGATTGCAAAGCTCCGAGGGGCGGAGGAAATGCTTTGCATCATTTTCTAGAAATGCGACCAATAATGGGAAGAAGAACATAATCACGTCAACCCCCCCATTATTGATCTCAATGATATGAATGACGCCATTGCTTAGTGGAATGATGGACGCTGAAGTCCTCAACAGACGAGCTTACGGAATCACCGGAAGCAATTGACTGGACTGTTACTGGCTACCTTGAATTTCAAGTCAGAATCACCATCTTAGAGTACATTGAAATATACTAGGTTTCTGAATCTTCAAGTCTCACGTAGTATTCCGATTTCGGTCAGAATAGCCGTATGCCTGTCCTTCAATGACGTTTGTATCTGTCTAGTCTCTTGCATTTATCTCAAAGTAATCTTTCAGGCATTATCATCTAGGTCTGGGTTTGCGGGATATTCAAAATACTTCTCTTTAAACTTCCCTAGGCCAACTTCCTTTGCTAGCTCTCGCCTGTGGTTCTTGTCAGAGCCTTTGTTAATGCTTTGATGTTTTCTGAACAAGAAATGCTCAGAAAATCTAGGAGAAGCAGGTTCACCAGAAGAAGCGGCTGACGTACGTAATCACTCCGGCATCATGTTGTAATAAGAGCGTACAGGTAATAATACAAGGCAGCAGAATATTATCCCAGTGACAAATTCAAGTATGCTAATACCCATTCGGATGACCATCTTGCGTTGTAGAGAACAGAGTCATTTAGTCAGCCAGAGGTACGTCCGTCAGCAGGTTGCAGCCACTAAATCGGACATAGGAGTCTTGAGCGAATCGTGACGTCTTATCCCCGAATTCCCACCAATATGTTCAGTTCCAATGCACGTCGGCGCGGGGCACGGCCTGGGCACGGATCGGACGATCAATGACGTCCATTGTCATGGGAAGTCTTACTAGCAGCGCTAGAATCACCTTCATGATATGTTTGTGTCAGTACATAATAAATGGGATACACACTGACGCTGCCTATCAAAGATTTGGTAAACACAATCATAAGGAACATTGACACTGTATGATAACTTCATCTCAAAGGCTCAGACTCACCACACAATGGCACCTAAAGGACTCGCAATCATCATCGGCGCAGGACCGACTTCCGGCGCAGGGATCGCTCGCATTTTAGCCAGCCCTCAACATGGCAACCTAGCAGTTGCTCTCCTCGCCAGAAACCCCGAGAACCTCCAGACTCTCGCAGCCGATCTACGCAAGTCTTCAAATGGAATCCTCCATCCTTTCCCTACAGACACTCAGCCTGAAAACCTCCGGCAAACATTCCAGCAGATCGCAGATCATGCCGACTTCAAAGACCTAAAGTTGAAGCTCGCTATATACCACGTCAAAAACTCGAGCAAGAAGCCATTCCTCGAGGAAACTCCAGAGGCTTTTAACGATAGCATGAGCACCTTCACAACCGGAAGTGTCGTCTTTGCGCAAGAAGCGCTGAAGCTCATGTACGCACAGAATGGAGGGCAGACGCTGCTGTCCGACACCGAGGGGGCGAAGAAGGGCACCATCATATTCACGGGGACTTTGGGAGCCATGCGCACGAATCAGCAGTATGCCGCCTATGGTGCATCTCGAGCGGCGGCGAGGATGGTAGCACAGGCTATTGCGAAGGAGCACAGCAAGTTTGGGGTGCACGTGGTTCATGCTATTGCCAATGGCGGCATCATTGACGAAGATAACGAAAACACTAAGACCGGCAAACGGATGCGCGCGGAAGATGTTGGAGAGTTGTATCTTTGGCTGTCACAACAGCCGAGCTCACTGTGGACTCATGAGTTGGATATGAGGCCGGCACAGGAGAATTTCTAAAGAGGAATGTCAAGCGTACTGAGACAAAAAGAAGTCGAAGCTGGAGGAAACTTGATCACTTCGCCAATAAAGAGAGTGCTCCAAACCGAATTAAATGGAAACGTGTTGACGTGGAGCGAACCGACCTTGGCTTACTATCTCGAAAAGCCCTCAACACTAGACTAGTGTTGTTCTCTAGGGGGTAGCGTCCAAAGCAATACACATTTGTCAGACCTTATCAAGAAACACATTAAGTTGCAAATCTCACTATTTTGCAATTCCGATTTGACAAATGAAGAGATCATAATCCATAGCAACTTGCTAGAGACCGAAACTAATCTGTAACTTCCATTATCATTACCTACACATTGCCACGTTACATCTTGACCTGTGGTTCTACGACATTGATTTTCTTTGACGCTAAGATTACATGTTACTACATACTCACTCTAGTTAAACCATATCACGGCCCTGAGCCGGCGGTCTCTCCTCCGTTGAGTAACACTCAGCCACCATGGTGCCGTTCCCACCTCCCTGACGTACCAAGTCGGTCTGGCTACCGTTGCGGCTGACGATCTCGATTTTGGTCTCGATGGCGATGTTTGTGTTCGTCTTGGTAGCTTTCCGACTCCGCATTGATTGCATGTGATGCGAATCCCCGGCATTCATCCCACTGTAAACATTGCCCGATCGATACCCGCTGCGCTGGGTGCTTGCCAACAACTTGGGGAAGGCCTTCACGATGAGGGGCTTGAGCGCAGGGACAGAGGCGCAGGCTATGGCAACATTGATCTCTATCCCGGACCATGTCGCAATATGGACACCATCTCCTATTTGTGTGGTGTTAGTACGTAACTTTTTGCCACTTATCGCCTGCCGGCTTGCCTCCAGGGAAAGCCTTACGTGATGTATCGGTAGATACGGAGATCTCGTAAAGTGAATAAAGGCGAATCATAGAGGTAATACAAACACTGTTGTGAAGTTCATCAGTACGTGCTAGACCAAGACAACTGCGTTGCGGGAACTTACAATCCTCCTACAGCGAACACCATGATGAGCGCAATTTTCTGCTTTTTCGATATTTGCAGAGACTTGATAAGTGGTATAGGAATGCCGCAGATGATAATATCCGATAAAATGTTCAAGGCTGCGTTGGAAAACCAGAAAGCCAAGCGGTTCATGCACTTCCCTGTACCGTCACCCCAAAAGGCTTGCACGGGCACGCACATGAAGATCGAGCCGAAGACAGTCCAGGCACCGTATACCGCAAGCACCGCAAGCATAGTCTTGCAAATCTTTTGTGTCGTTGGGATTTTGAACACGCGCAAGTATGAGAAGACGATCGACAGCTTGCAGAGCAATAGGGCCAGATTGTAGGTCGGAATCGTCGCCCAGAGACACTGCCGATGGGGAATATCAGAACCCGCCCTTCTAGGACTCCCATCTATGATTCGCAACTCACCTGGAAGAACCGGACCAGATCATCTTCTGCAATGGTAGACATCGGCATACCCAAGCCATATTTGATTTCCGTGGTAGTGTGAGTATCACTTGTTCTGCAGTTTCAGGCGCAGGTACTCACGATGCATTACAACGACACAAAAGCCGATGGAGGCCGCCTAAGTAAAGACTCTCAGCTTTCCAATTCCTTTTCCACATGGCATCTTATAGTTGGCGAAGTAGACTTACCAGTGCGGCAGGCATCAACCAGTCATCGATGCCGACATTTTGCACCACCATAATGCGCGTGTACAGGCGCAGCCCGACGAGGACAAAAGAAAGAGTTGTGAATATTATGCTCGTGACGAAGACAGAGACATTGGGTCCCGCAACCATGTTGTGAACTTACGCGCACGGCGCCAAGAGAAATATCGGACTACTGCCAGAAAGAAAGTAAAAAAGGATTAGAACATGAGAGAAAGGAGACTTTGGATGTAGAGCATGAAGAATCTGCGGATTTCCGGAGGTATGCACGACGAAAGGGCACTTGGGAAGGATGTCATATTGGAACTCATCTTCTTCACCCCATTATTTGCTCAGTCTCAGTACGGCCATATTGCCATTGCTTGGATCTGTTCCAAGCTGAGATGTCTGCATGAACGGGGGCATCCTAACACTCGAGGGGGTCGCGTTCCCGAAGAAAGTCGTTCGGGATGTGGGCCCGGATCATCCCCCGGTTGAAGCCAGGATGGGCCTGCCCCATGCTACATCAAGGGCAAGTGGCGCACATGTTCATAAGGGATAGCATCCAATGCAATGAAGGTACAGTCACGGATTACTCCTAAATCCCCGCCGCATATCCTACCTTGGCATCGAGGAAGTTGGCCAGCCGTTTCCCAATAAGCAGGTTCGGCACGAACAGAGCCTTTGATGGTGCGACAGTTTATGAGGTAAGGAGGTAAATCAGGTTTCTGGATCCGGATCTTGGGGACTTCGGGAAGCCGTTGGAGTATCAGAATTGGATCATCCATGAGCAATACACCCGTTGTCTAAGTTCTACCAGCCTCCGCCGGACGTGAACGTTGGTACCGCCGACTTTGCGATCTCATCTCGGGGATTCCTTGCCAGCAGCCCCCCTTCGAGTTTTATGGCTACATCCCTGCGTATGAGAATTTTTAGTCAATCTTTTCCCTGCAGCTCCTGACATATATGCTACAAGGACCCTACCACTATAATCTTGATCTCGGTATGGTAGTTGTAGATACTAGCACTCAGCTGTTGTTCGAAGGTGCTTCGGTCTTCAGCCCGAGGTTCCGAGCTCGCATCTTCTGGGTCTGCCATGACCCGGGGGTAGTAAAAGTAGCCAGACTTCTCTGAAAGTACTCTGTAACTGTGGCTTCAATTGATTCTATTTACGAACTTCCAGCATCAGTATCCGCAATCTAGCAGCAAAGTTGTACTGGTATCAGCCATTCAAGTCGAAAAGACATCCTCATCCAGACACAGAGAGTGTTCCAACTTTCCACTCTCCACGTAGCTTCAATACCTGCCTCACAACTGTATCTATGCCACTGCTATAAGCCACCGCGCTCCCTGATACGGCAGTAGCGCCCACCTTCGAGACCCCTATAGGCATCCTGTTCATAGCAGAGACTACTTTGCATACCGTGTCGGACCTGAATCCGCTTCTGCAAGTAAAAACTCTCGAAACCGCATGATGGGACCATGCCTGTTCTGCCATCTGCGAGTGTGACCTTGACAGGTTTACTTGCTATATCATGGGTGAATCGCTCGGTATAAGTCCGATGAACAGTCGCTCCGTCGGTGTTTAGGTCCATTCCTTGAATATTAGAAGCCAATGCAGATAATGCCGGCGGGTCCAAAGGATTTTTCTGATTCGGAGCTAGTTGGCTTATTGCTCCCTCGAGACTGTAGTGAAGACACCTATTGTGATTTCGTTGCTCATTACGGGGTTTTTAAATGAGTATCATTCATTTGGCAATGAACTGAGAAAAGCAGTGGATGGATCTCGCAACTCGGTTGGTCTCTTCGCGAAGTTCGTAAGATCCCAACCAGGCGTGCCAGGGTCGACCAAAATACCCACTGGTTGAGATATAACCCCGGTCCAACCCTACAGCGGCCCCTCCAGCTGCTTCTTTGGCCATAAAGGGATTCGTTTTCCGGGCCACGAATGCTACACCTTCTGTACACATCTTTGACACCATCAATTTCGATTTTTCTTCAAGAGGTTAAGACGATGGATATCCAACGTGCAATCCTCATCACACGAAGACTTGAAGTTGAAGCTGTGTTGGCGATCTTCCAAGTCTGGGCAGAAAAGATAAGAGTTTAAAATCTGGGCTTCCCCAGAAGATAAAATCGACTAGCGAGGATCCCCTGCCCTCGGCGTCACTTGGCCCGGGCTTGCCATTCCACTGATCGCACGTCCCTGAGAGCACCGGCTACGGGATCGAACTCAGATATGATTTCCAATCAGTCGGCAAGCCCAAGATCTCGAGTCTGTGTTGTACTGTCTCTTCAGACGACGGTCAAACAAATAGAAGCACAACGATGCCGCCTGGCCCCTGGAATACCTTCCTGTGTAGGGGCCTGTCATCACAAAGGGCTGTGTCAATGATTCATGCCACCCTTGCACCTTAGCAAGGAGCCACAATACTACATTAATGTACGAAGTACTCCGTACGGCTATGAGGGGCCACTTCCCGATATAAAGTCCGTTTACGACCAACGAGGCCCTGGTCCCTGTATCTTCAACCTGCTACCAACAGAAAAACAAGTATGATCCACATCTCTGACATTGGGTATGCCACCTCTCGTACGATATCTGCAGGAGTCGAGCGGTTGGAACTGGGAAATACAACTCTTTAGCAATACGTTGCAGAATTTGATGCAGGATATTGACAAGGTCTTGCTAGAAACTCGTAACCGATATTGCACGAAAAATGGCATTTGCCAACTTGGCTCAACGGAGTATGTTTCCTCAGGAGGAGCACACCATAAGGCTACTGCATCATTGTATTATTCGCTTTTGCCGATTCCAACATCACGCGGATTGCGGGAGAATACCCGGAGTCTGTTCCGCACGCTTCGAGTCAACATGTTGGGCCGCAAACAAGTATTCGGCGTGGGTGGAGTAGAATTCTGATTACAATATGTCTTAGGTAATAGCTAGTTATCTGATGTTCATGTCATGTCAGTTAGGAATAAGGCATTATCAGTATGCGTACAAGCACACTGGGTTACTTCGAGTACAGGTCATCCTCCTTTTCAGCTGGGGCGTCGATGTGCATGTTGAATTCGTTTTCGAGCTCGACAAGGAAGAAAGCACCTGCAACCATTGATTAGCCAGCTATCAAGGGCATATGAATAAACGAAACTTACCAATGGCAGCAGCAACTGTGATGGAGCCAGCGGCGATCCAAACATAACGGAAGCCAAGGCTGTAGGTCTGCAGAAGGGCACCAGCGCCTGCCTGGATGATGTCCACTGTGACGCCTTCAACTTGACTCAGTCCAGCATTGTCTTGGGCAACAAGTAGACCAATGAACTGCCCAAGAGAGGTCTGAGGAAGTCCGAGTGGCAGGACGGCAGCAGCGATATTGGTGGGCATCCTCGAAAGCTGGTCGGTGATAATGGCGTTGTCTAGTGAAGGCGGTCGTTAGCAAGTCTCATCATGTCTTCTCCAGTTTAGGAGGTCTGAAACTTACAAATAGCGAGACCAATGGATCCTCCCAAAGATCGCACGCCAATCATCAACCCACTGGTGATAGCAATGAGCTCCGGGGGCGTTGAAAGCTGCGCAATGGTAACAAGCGTGCACAAACAGATGCCCAGCCCGATACCCAAGAAGACAGGGTAGCCCCAAACAGGGTCGGAGGTGCTCGGTGTAGTCGTGGCCATGCACACGAAGAAGATAATCATGGACACAAATGCCACAACGGTAGGCCAACGAACGTTTCGCGTCGTCGAACACCACAGTCCAGCCAAGACAGCCGAGACGCCGTAGACAATCATGGTAACGCCATACCGGACCCCGGTGCGCAACGAGTCCGTCTCATAGAGCACGCCGACCTGGAAAGCAAAGTAATTGTTGGCCGCGAAGAAGACGAGACCCTCGACAAAGACACAGACTAGCGCGATGGGGAAGTTGCGTCCGTTCCTGAAGAGCCCGTGGTGGAACATACCGTCCTTCTTGAAGCGCGTCTCGTACACGGCCAGAGCGACGCAGAGTGCGCACCCAACAAGGAACGGCGCGATGGTGTGGGCGTCGGTCCACGGATAGGGGTTCTGAGACCACGACAGGCCCATGCAGAAGAGAACCAGACCCGATGACAGGAGGGCGTATCCCACCCAATCGAGCTTCGCAAGCTTCTCCGAGACGCTGAAGCGCGTCTCGTTGTCCGTCTTTGGCGGGTTATACAGCGCTAGAACGAGGGCCGTGGCCACAGAGTATATGGCCATCGCCATGTACCAGTAATTCCTCACGCCCGCAGCGTTGCCGTTGCGCGTGAGTGCGCCGCCGGCCAGGAGCGCCACCAGGCCTCCCATCGCGGCCGAGAGGTTATCGGCCGCCTGCGCCCAAGGGCGGTAGCGTCGGGGTAGGACCTCAGAGGCGACGGCGTGGAGGAGGGGCTGGGCGCCGTAGGAGCAGCCCGTGATCGTGAAGCCAGCAATAGCCATGCCCATCGTCGAGGCGCGGGCGACAACTATGGAGCCGATGATGCCGCAGGCTGTCAGGCCGACGAGGAACCAACGGCGGCCCCAGTAGTCTGCGGCCTGGGAGACGATGGGGGAGAGGACGACTGTCATGATGGCGATTGTGGAGGTTAGCCATACGCTCTTGTCGCTCTCCCCCAGCACGGCTGCGATGTTTTGGGTTTGCTAGTAGAGAGAATACGGCGTTAGATATTATACCTTGACAGGTGAGAGTCGTGGTGAGATAACTTACAGCTCCGGCGCCGACGACGTTGATGAGTTGAGCAAAGTAGATGAAGCAAACGGCAAAGACTGTGAGAAAGGTCTTTGCGTGTAAGTGAGGAACCAGCTCATTGGGGCCTTCGATGCTCTCCTTGGGTTCATCTCGACTGCTTGGAGGAGGAGGAGCTGGGCCTTTGGCTTCGCTCATCGATCCAGTCTCCTGGACGTCGTCCGAGATGGCATCCTTCGCGGTTGACATCGTGGCGGTCTATGATGTTGGCAGCTACTTACACACTCAGGAATGAATGGTTGGCCGGTGACAGAGAAGGAGTTGCGGAAAGACGTAAATACCAAAGTAGGAACTCTATCCAAAAGACACAGGATGTTACTTTGCTAACGTCGTCTTGATTCTCGAAGACATGCTCCTCCCACGTTCCGTCCATGCTCGATACCAATGACCAACCAGACTCTTCCAAGAACAAGGGTTTCTCGACCCTGAACGATTACCGGCAAACTCTTCATTATCTTCTCTCATCTCGTCCGTTGTTGCATTTTGCTCTGCATCGGAGGTTAGAACCCATGCGGTAGGTAGCCCAGAGCAGGGGATCCAAAGACCCCTTCGTCCAACCCAGCTATAAATCGCAAGGATTTCAATTCTCACAAAACCCGGAAGCTACCTAAACGATACCCGGTGCTGTGACCCATGAACCCTGGTCGCCCTCTTCAGCGGAGTACACAACCCCTGTTCCCGGACCGATCCCTGTTGAGCGAGACCCCTGGGAGACGACCTCCTCGTCTGCGAGACTTCCAACCAACTGGCCCAAAAGTATCATCCTACACTAGCTTCTGCGCAGTAAGTGGCCCTCTATAAACACTACTCTATGTACGGATATGTCCATCGAGAATCTCACCCACCCATCATTGCCCAAGTCCATAAGTACCTACCCACTACTGCGGCAGAAGCGTACGTGTCGACGTTCCACTGATAATGTAACTTTTGTCCTGCCCATTGCGGCACAGACTCGGACCAGCTGCTTGTTCACTGGGACCTGTTCGACCGGTCACCTCGCCCTGGCTCATCGTCCGACCTATTGCCAGATTCCCAGTCAAGACATCAAGGGTTCCCTACATCTTGCGCGATCGAGACGTCTCTGACCCATGGCTCTGGTGTTCTTGACCGTGGTCCGTTGGGAGTGCTGGGCAACGCGGGAATGATACTCCGTCGAGAGATGCATCGCCATCTAGAAATGGAAACATGATCCGAACGAAGTCGAAACCACCCACCACAGGCACTTCGGACTCTGGACAATGGCAACCGAGGAGGGTCATGTTCTCTGAGAAGCTAACTCCGGCCCGCATCGTCTAGTGCGTGGACTCAAGGGGGCCAATGCCTTGGTCCATCATCCAACCTAAGCATGTCCCATCTGGGGTCGAGACGAAGACGCGCCGTTGGCACCTCATCCCCCCTCCCTCCTCGGACCAACAGTTTTGTTTTACATACACACATCATCTAGAGAAGTTGTTACCGCGTCTCCAAGCGTCTGTGCGACGATCTCGTCCCCTTGAAAGGCAATCCAGTGCAGTTCCGAGAGTCGAGACCAGCCCACAACGTAAATACAAAGTTGTTCTCATGCCAATGGCTCCCCTCAAGATCCTCATCGCCGGCGGCGGCATCGCAGGCCTCTCCGCAGCCGTAGGTCTCCGCCGCGCCGGCCACGAAGTCCACGTCTACGAGCGGTCCGCGCTCAACAACGAGATCGGCGCCGCGATCCACGTGTGTCCCAACGCCGCGCGCGCGCTCCTCGCCTGGGGTCTCGACCCTATCAAGGCCAAGTTCGTGCTTGTCAAATGCAGCTTCCGCGCAAAGGGGGACACGCTGGAGAAGTTCCACGTCGGCACGGAGGATTACATTGAGGAGCGGTACGGCGCACCGTGGTACTTTGCGCACCGCGTCGATTTACACGAGGAGCTGAAGAGGTTGGCGACGGAGCCCGAGGGCAGCGTCACTGGTCATGCCAACGGCGTTGAGGAGTCTAGTGGGGAGAGGACGAATGGTGTCAATGGGCATGCGAAGTCGAGGGCTGGACTAGGTCGACCTGCTACTGTCCATTTAAAGAGCGAGATTGTAGCATATGTGAGTGGCGACTTTCTTTAGCACACATAACCCCCCGTTGAGTCTGGCTAACCACATCTTTAGGACCCAGAGGAAGCTTCAATAACACTGGCTTCTGGCGAGAAAGTCACAGGCGACGTGGTCATCGCGGCAGATGGCGTCCACACCATTGGAGTCGAGGCGATTCTCGGCCGCTCTAACCCTGCGGTGCCTCAGGGGCACTATAACTTTTGCTTCCGTTTCCTCATACCAGCCGCCGATATCGAGGCGGACCCGGTCACGCGCTTCTGGAACGAAGGCGACGACGGGCGGATGAAGTTCCTGGTCGGGGAAAAGAAGCGTCTGGTCTCGTATCCTTGTCGAAAGTAAGTTGTTTGCTATTTCTACACTGCGGTAGCAGTTGTGAGATGAGTAGGAGGCCATGTGACGTCCGGTGTGTTGACTGAAGCAGCAATGAGATCCACAACTTTGTCGCCATCTTCAATAACGACGACGTTGAGAGTACCAAAAAGGAGGACTGGCACGCTTCTGTGAGCAAGGAGAAGCTGCTTGAGAGATACTCCGACTTCCACCCAAGCGTCTTGGCCATTCTCGAGTAAGCAACCCCACCCCCGTGAACACATGATCAAGACTCACACCATGCTCAGCAAGGCCACGGAGGTGAAGCAATGGGCACTCCTCTACAGAGCTCCAATTCCTACCTGGACGAAGGGGAAGTTGACACTGGCTGGTGATGCCGCGCATCCCATGTTACCCCGTAGGTTCCAACGGCAACACATCTGTTCCGACCCTCTTGCCAAATCTACCGATCGCTGACATATGGACCATGTTAGACCAGGGCCAAGGCGGTGCTCAGGGCATCGAGGACGGCGTCGCTCTCGGCATCGCGTTTGCGGGCGCAGAGGCCAAAGACGTCGAGGCTCGTCTGCAGGTGTATGAGAGCATCCGGAGGAACCGCGCCAGCGTGATGCAGATCTTTAGTAACGCTGGCCAAGAGGAGCCGGAACTGATCCGGGAAGAGGCTGCCAAGTTCATTCCCGCGGATAAAGTGCCCAGTAAGTCTTATTATTGCGAAATGCCTCATTCTGGTTGTGTTTGTGAGAGAGAGAAGTAGCCGCTGACATACTGTCTTGCAGAAAACCCAGAAGAGTTCTTTGCGTACAACTTCGGGTACGACATCATCAGGGATAGCGTCCAGCAGGTGCAAAAAGTCGAACCGTCGTTTAGTCTACCGCCTTTCTTCTTCCAGAATCAGCCAGGCAAAGGTGTTTATCCGTAAATCCCACGGTAAGTTGATCAGGATCAAGAGTGAGACACGCGGCTTCTATACCCATAGCCGCTGAGGACTGTATTCAAGGTAAACATGTTGAAGGATCCGGGCATACATACTCTAGTACACATGAATCAATTGAGCTTCGTTCGATTGGACCTCTCCACGGAGAAGCCAAAGTTACGCATGTTCTGTAAAGTTTCTGGAATTCTTCCAAAAGTGGCTGGGGGACCGTGATGACGTACCTGGAGGAGCTGCCCCTCTCCTCCCCTGGAGCTAACGGGCCGTCCCAGGTTTGACACGAGAGCTGAAATGTCATCGCTTTGACCTTGAGGGGTTCAGAGGCAGCATCGAGGTTTCTGAGCATGAGCAATATCTTCTCGTGCAAGTCCAGACATCATTAACAGGTAGTTGCCAACGGTGAAGTTGTAGATCGCCAAGTCTTGGGTTCTTGGGAGCGGCAATCCGGAAGCGGCTCCACCGCAACATCCACCGCAACATCCCCCGCCAATCGCCGCCAATCGCCGCCAGGGTCGGGTACAACTGCAGCTGCATCCATCCGACGGGCAAAAACGAACACAGGAATTCGCTGACCGACTGAACACTCTCTTTGTCTCTCTGCAGCTTTTTTTTCTTCTCCCTCGTTCAAAACTCGAGCTAGGTACTTGAGTGAGTTCCCGTCCGCAACCTCGTTTTGCGTTGGAATTTGATCGTCCGGCAGTCTTGAATTCTCAGACCCTGCCTTCATTCCTCACCCTCGACCCTTACGCCCTCCTCTCACGCATTCTTACTCAGTTTGCCTTTCCAGCCATGGCGAGATCCTCCTTCTCAGACGCTCCCACAAGGGACTCGAGGTATCTCGCCCCTCGCGAGCCCTACGGCTACCCGAACTCATCCGCGCGGGACTCAAGATGGGACATCGCTGAATATTCTCTCAGACCGACCGCCAGAGCCAAAGACTCTTCCTCCTCCACCAGGCACCGCTCTCGATCCCGCTCTCGTGACACCAAACATTCCCGCGACAAAGTGCACCGCAAGAAGCGACGCAGCGGCGGCGAGGGCGGAAGCAGCAGCTCCTCATCGTCAAACGACCCCCCAGCTATTGCCAAAGAAACCAAAGGAGCCGTCGTGAACGCAAACACGGCCTCCTTCACACCAACCGCCATGATCAGCAACCTCCAAAACGCCTTCCACGCCTTCCAATCCATCCCGAACCTCTCCCCCTCAACCTTTGAACTGGGGCCCCTCCCCGACACCCCCGTAACAAACCTCATCAACCCAAAGAACCTCCACCCGCCCCCCTCCCAGGCCGTCCTCCACGACCGCCTCGGCACAAACTTACACCGCCACAGCAACGTCTACCTCATCCTCCTCGTCGGCACCCTCCTGGCGACCCACTGGCTCGTCCTCGCCGCCCTCTTCGGCGTCGTCAAGTTTGGCTTCTTCATCCAGTCCTACAACGGCCGCGACCTCGCCCGCGACCTCGGCGTGAGGAAGTACGCTTCCACGCAGAGCATCATGTCCGGCTTCACCGCCTTGGCCGCCATCGTCGGCCTCTGGGCCTTTTCCTCGCTCTTCGGCGTCGTCTTTACCCTCGTCAAGGTCGCCGGCCTCGTCCTCGTGCACGCCGCGTGCTTTGACGTGTCAGCCGCAGGCGGCGGTCGACCGACTGGAGTTGTTACGGGCGCTGCTTCGACAGCTGCACCTTCGCCCGTGCCGGCCCAAGGGTTCCTGAGACCGCCTGCGGCGCCTGCAGGCTGGGCCCTGGTCTCGAGGGAGGCGCCGAACGTGGCACAGCTCAGATCTGCGAGCGAGGGCCAGCTCAGGTCCGCCAGCGAGGGGAACCTCAGCGGCGGCGGCGGCGGTGGCAGCGGCGGTGTAGCACCGCCGTACCCTAGCGGAAATGGATGGTACGCCGGCGAGGGGCACACTGGGCCCCCGACGCCAGAGTCGTACGCCGAGATGCCGCGGACGCCGCGTTCCTTCGAGGCATATGCTCCCGGTCCCCGAAGGGAGGAGCACGATGCCGGAGAGATGGCGTACGGGTATTACGAGTCTGCTCGGCCTCAGAGTTATGCATCGGGGAGGTCGTATTAAGAATCACGTTGCTTCTGGAATTATCAAAAGCAGAATGTGAAGACGAAGTAATGTTCAAGCTTAGGTCTGATAGATAAAAATAGCACATTACCAAGTCCAGGCATTCCATGTCCATCTTCCACGATAGTACAGGAATCCTCCTGGTTCAAGTACGCAGTTAAAGCATTGCCAAAAAATATCGAATTGACCAATCAAATCTCGGAGCAAGTCTCCGCATGTGAACAAAATTGTCCCCTCGTCGCAGAGCGTCAACTTGAGGCTGCCTGGCTATTCGTGAATCAATCTCCAACTGTATGCAATAGATTTCATCGTGTACAGCTGGGTCTTGACTAATGCACAGGGCCTAGGGAACTCAAGCTCACAGCCTGCGACAATGGAGACATGACATGATTACGCGTAGCCATGAGAAAATTCAATCCGTAGATGCATTGCACGCAAAAGGAAAAGGGTTACGAGAGAGATGTTAGCCACGTTTGTGGACCTCGACGTCCACGGTGTAATGGATGCCGCGGTGAGTATTGGACTAAAGACATTAATCTTCCTTGAACCAAAATAGAGAAAGACCATGGGAAAGCATTGGTGTATCTCGGAGTGTAGTCAAGGTGACGTATCACGAAAGAATTTGTATGTGTTTTTTTCTTCCTCGCGCCCAGAGAAACAAGCTCCAGCGCGCAACGAAAAAAGAGAAAAAAGGTCAGAGCCTGTCAGACGTCCATCGACACCCACCCCTTCCGCGCGCCCAAAAGGCAAGACCGCAAAAGGGGACGAGATCATCACCGCCCTCTATACAGTTCTTTCATCGCGAGACGAATGAAACCGCTTTCCTTGCGGAAAGTGCGAGGGCAACCAGAGTTCTTCACTCTAGGGTGTCGAGGATATCAATCATCAACCAGGGTGGGATCTGTAGCTCCTTTAGGGAACCAAGAGTAGGTCGAATACTATAGAAATGATTCTCTGAAGTATTGTCGACATGAAGAAAAAAGAAGAAGAGAAAATCCTAAGAGACGCGGTCGGGAGGCGGCATTTTATACATGTTGGAGAGGTGCGGGAGTGGGTCTTTGGTGGGGGACGGCATCAGCAATGTGCCCTCAAGCTGTCGGCCAATGAGAATTCGGGGATGTGAAAATTGGAGGTTGAGGGTACGTACCGGGGCTGGAGATGTGCAAAACTCTGCATCGTGAAGATGGAAAGAGCGGGTTCAAGATGGTAAAGATGCCTGGAAACAGTGTCGGTGAATCAGGCATCAAGACGAGAGAAATCTTCTCTTTTGCACATACGGATTTGATGTCGCGAGAGGTTATTTGGCGGTCCGAGGCAGCGCCTACCAAAGGGAAAATGAGTCGATGAGATGGTCTAGATATCGACGAGAGCAACTTTGGAGTAGGATGTGCTCTTTTGCGTCAAAAGCTCAGTCCCCAATGGCTTGTCTTGTGCAAATATGAGTGTATCTCTCAGGCTCTGGCATACCGCCGAGTACGGCCGAGTACGGCCGAGTATCGAGACGTAGCGTGATCGGCCACCCGTAAGGATGGGAAGGGAGGAACTACGTCGACTTCTATCAACGTGAAAGGTGACGTCTGAAGAGCATGATCACATAGCGGCTGTGATCATAATTATCATACACAGGGACGCTCCTGCCTGAAATACCTAGATCAAGCAGCATGCGAAAACCCTCAAATTCTGACCCAAAGATCTAAACTCTCCCATGAGGCTCAGCTATCACCACCACCCTCACTCACGATACAACCCCTCCCCAAGCACCCACTCCTTCACCCTCCTACTAACCAGCTTCCCCAAACCCTCGTCATCCCCAGCAGAAGCAGCCTCCCGGACCTTTGTACTACTAACAACCTCCTCGCCCGCGTCCCTCCCCCGAACCATCTCAACCCTCTCCGCCCACTGCCCTCGCCCACCAACCTCCTCCAGCCCTCCGTCCCTCAAACTCTCGAGATACGCAACCTGCTCCCCCTCACCACCCCATCCATCATCCGTCCTCATCGTGATCCGCAACTTGGACCTATTCAGAAACGGGTCCAGCGCGCTACGAATCGGCGCCACGGCTTCTGCTGTCGCCTCTTCCGCTGAAGACGTACCACTGTAGTACTTTGGGTTGAAGATCCTGATGAGCGTATCATATCCCGCCAAATACACTTGCTCCGGCTCTCCTTCGCTCCCTTGGGCATAAAACCCCGTGTCCGAAATAGCCTGGCTCTTATCGTGAAAGTACGGCATCGTCGTCAACCCCAAATCGACTTCGACTTCCTCCTTCTCCTCCTCTTCCTTCTGTACCGTCTCTGCCCCCTTCATCGATTCCCCTAGCGCCTCCTCCACGCCCTTCCTCTTCAATTCATCCCTCAAATCCGTAGCAAACGCATACATCATCCCCAACCGCACCTCAAACGCCGCAGGCTTAGGCTTCTTATCCGCGTTGTTCACAGCCAGGAGAAGCAGTAACCTCACAGGTCCTCTTTGACCCGGGTCCTCAACTGCCCCCGCTGCCGCGCCGCTACTTCCACCCGTCGTCGTCGTCGTCTTCCTCCTCTGCAAATCCCGAATCGCAGACGCCGCCATCCGCAAGTGCGCCATCGTAGGCGGATTAAACGAAGAATCCAACACAACAAGACTCTTCACCGACCTCTTCTCCCCACTCCCACTCTCATCCCCTAGCCTCCGCGGCGCCGGTGCCGGTATCGTGGCCGTGTCACCACTACTCCCCCCTCCTCGGGGAGGCAAGGTACAAACGACGCGAAACGCATCCCTGGAAGATTGAAACGCCGTCAAGCTCCGGGAAAAGAAGTCAACGAGGGCGGCGCGGCTTTTCATGGCCGGATCCGGTTCCGCGGTGGTAGATGACATTTGCTCGCAGAGGTTGCAGGAGCTGCATTGGGTGTATTGAGGTACCAAGTAAGTAACCAAGGTAGAGGTGAAGTGAGACATCCGGTTCGACGAAAAGTGACGGCACGGGACGGAGATTCGGAGAGGACAGGAGAGACGGGGACGCTGCATGCCATCGACGTTTACCCCGCTACGTGGGGGTCGTCTAGCATGCATTCCGAGCTCACTGGCACCATGTGGGGAAGATTGCTACAAGTCCCTATTTGCAGTAGTGTGAGTAAATTGCAAGATCGAAGCAGATTCAAGGGGTATTGTTTTGCAAGGAGAGCAACATCTATCAGTATTCGACAACTAGAGTATCGTACAGCCAAGGTTCCTTTTACAACAAGAACAACAAAAACACAGCTCATCATCCCCCATCACTCGTCCTCCGTCCCTCAAGCTCTGTTTTGCTTCGCATTGGCAAACATCTGCGACGTGACCAGTCCAAACCCGAAAAAGAGAGCAATGCCCAAAAAGTTGAGCACGGCATTCATCAGAGGCGGCATCTTGGGCTCCGCCAACATCTCGTCCTGCAACCTCTCGATCCGCTCCGCCATCTTCTCCTGCCCGAACCCCGTACGCACCCTCTGCACGCCCGCCTTGCCCATCTTCTCCAGATCGCCCCGACTAAGGCTGTTAAGCACCTTATCCATGACCACGGTCCACTCGAGCACCTCATCAGGCGCCCGCAGCCAGCCCGTCACGCCGTCCATGACCGTCTCCTTGGGCCCGCCCGTGTTCGCCGCGAGGACGGGCACGCCGGCCAACATGGCCTCGAGGGGCACGATGCCAAAGTGCTCGTTGGAGGGCGTGTAAACCAGCAGCTTGGCCGATCGGAGGAGCGAGTCCTTCAAGCTCGACGGGATGGAGAGGAGGAACAGCACGGGTATGTGCTCGGGCGCCGACAGGGCCGTGATGATGTTCTTGGCCGTGAACGTCTCCAACCCGTGCGACGCGGCAAGCCTCTCGAGCTCCTTGTGGTACTGGCAATTTTCGATGCTTCGCGGGTCGTATCCGCCCGCGAGGACCAGCCGGACGCCCTTTCTCTTATCCGCAGGCAGCGCCGCGAAAGCCTTGACGGCGAGCGCAATGTCCTTCTTCCTCTCGAAGCGGTTGATGCTCAGAATGATGTTCCTGTCCGTCCAAATGGCCTCCTCCTCATCCTTGCCGTTGCCAATCGCCTTCCTCTCGTTGTCTTTTTTAGGTGCAATGTCGACGCAAGGGTACACGACCTTGAAGTTCTTGCGCTTGGCGAGCTTCGGCCACGCGCCGGTGGCCATACCCTTTGTGAAGCCCGAATTGACGGCAATCTCGTCGGCGAAGCCCATGCTCCACTCCTCGACCCAGTCAAAGGGCACACGGTAGAGGCGTTTCCACCACTTCTCGCGGCCGAGGGCGAGGTACATGTCGGGGAAGTGGCAGTAGAAGAGGATGGGGGCCTTGGGGGCGAGATACTGCAGCAGCGGCAGGCCCGCGCTGAGCTGGTCGACGAAGAAGGTGTCTGGGTTCAGGGACTGGAGTTCCCGGGTGGCGTAGATCTGGACGAGGAGGTGGAGCTGGCGGAGGATGGCGCAGAGGATCGTGAGGCGGCCGAGGATGGAGGGGGGGACGATCCAGTTGCCGCGGACTCTGACGTCGAGGGTTCCTGGTAGAAAGATGAGTTAGATTGCGCTTCTTTTCGAAAGGTGAGGTCATAGGTGAAGAAACACAAAGCTGTAGGCTTTACCATCTCGAGCTTCTTCAAAGCAGTGGCTTTTGTCGCAATGGCTGGTGAAGATGACCACCTTGTGGCCTCGATTCTGCAAGCCGACAGCCGCATCGACAACGAGACGCTCAGCACCACCGATGCCAAGGTCCGGGTGAAAGAAGACGACGGTCCTCTGATCGTCGTCTTTCTCCGCCATGGTCGGAGAGGGATTGATTTATCTTTGGCGGGTATTCGGGGGTTGTGGTGAAGAGGGGAGGAATTCCCAATCTTTTGTGTTGTCTCTCTGCCTTTCTCTTCTGCAAGAGGACAGAAATGCGAAGTTGTGAGACGTGGACGATCTGACCTGACACTGGAGCCAGCGGGGACCACTCACTGGGAGTTACGACGCGGTAGCAGTCCACTGTCCACTGTCCACTGTCCAGGGCAGTTGGAATTGGGGTAGCTCTGTCAATGGCAGGTGGTGATTGGGTACCATAAAGTGGGATGTGGCCTTACGTAAGGAGCAGCCCTGCAGAGGCACGAGGGGACACAACGGTACGTCCTGATGGACCCACTCAGCCAAGGTAAGCGAATTGTGGATGGCCACCGATTCTGGGGTGCATCAGAAGCCGCAGGAGCTTGGCGGGCTTCCTTTTGGGGCCGCTCCTTCTTCACATGTGAAAGTCCATTAACCTTATGTACCTTAGGTACATGGACAAGTTTCCCCATGAACACGAGGGTAGCTCGAAAATGGTATTCCATTCATCTCAACAGCTACCGTAGGAAAGAATAAGATGACATGCAATATGATTGGAGGATAGACACCTGTGCATGGAAATAACAAGCCAGCTTGCCACGGAGTTGGGGATTCGGGGAAGCCTGTCAGCCGAACTGCCCGCCGCACGTTGGATTTTCTAATCATGGCTGCGTCTGAGGCATGTCTTGCTTAGTGCCTTTTGCCGAACCGAGGTCAGCAGCGCTTATTTACCTTAGATTCCATCTTCAACGTTTGGCCTTTGTGACTTCAACCCTATCTCTACTCTCATCCATAATCTCAGCGTAGCTCCATCATCGAGACTACATTACTTGTATACAATCCCCATACAAGGGAATGAGAAGCCATTTAGAGCCATTCATCTCTGTCCTCAAGATTACTTGTACCGAAACACCATAGATCCCCCGACCCGAATCTCAACCACGTCTCATCTCACCAACCACACACTCATCAACATCAACATCAATATCACCATCACCACCGCCATCACAACCCTCACAAAAAAAAATGGCCTCCCAAGACCCCCTCTTCTCAATCCCCATTCCCCCAATCCCCTCCCACCAAGGCGGCACCATAACCTGCACAACCCCAGCACCCCTCGTCTACCTCCTAACCTGGTCCTCCCCCCCGACAACCGCCTCACAACCCCTTTCTGCCGCGCCCTCCTCGCCGCCCTCGACATCATCGAATTCTCCCTCCCCGTCGGCGTCCTCATCACAACCTCCGCCATCCCAAAATTCTACTCCAACGGCCTCGACCTCGAACACGCCTTCGCCACCCCGCACTTCTTCCCAGACACTCTATACGCCCTCTTCAAACGCCTCCTCACCTACCCGATGCCAACCGTCTCTTTGATCCCAGGCCACGCCTTCGCAGGCGGCTTCATGACGGCAATGCACCACGACTACCGCGTAATGAACCCCCAAAAGGGCTTCCTCTGCATGAACGAGCTCGAGTTCGGCGCGCCCCTGAAAGCGCCAATGTCGTCCATCTTCCGCATCAAGTGCGCCTCCCCCAAAATCTACCAAGACATCGTCCTCGAAGCGAAACGCTTCCCCGGTCCAGCGGCCCTCGAGGCCGGGCTCGTCGACGCGCTCGGCGGACTCGATGAGGCGTTGAAGTTGATTGCGGAACGCAAGTTGACGGAGAGGGGCAAGAGCGGGGTGTATGCCGTGCTCAAGATGGAGATGTGGAAGGAGAGCGCGTACGTGCTCAGCAAGGAGAATTACGAGAGCGAGGAGAAGATCTGGGAGGAGAGGGAGGAGAGGGAGAAGGCTAGGGTTGCGGCGGGGAAGAAGTTTGTGCAGGAGTGGAAGGCTGGTAAGGCCAAGTTGTAGGAGTTGAGCAGGAAATCTTGTGGAAGGATAAAAGACCCCAGTACGATAGTGGCGGATACTTGCACGATACTTTAAACGCATACATTACGACAAATCATTCATGTTGAACTTCATTTGCTCAAGAGATCGTGTATTGTGCTGCTAAAAAAAAAAAAGAAAAAGAGACGCTTGTTTTGTGTCTTCCCAATCGGACAGAGGGGGTATCATGGACGTCCATTCAAACACCTGAAATGCATCACCGCGCTTCCTCCACCTGTCCGCAGACCGCTGCTCTCGTTCCTCACGTCTGCACTTCTTGCTCAATCGGCATGGGCTCACGAACATCCAAATCCGGCTCGACTGCCCCATTCTCCTCTTGTCCGTTGCCGTTGCCGTTGCCATTCCCATTCGCCTTGGACGCCTTTTTGGCCGCATTCATCTCATCTCTCTGCCTCGCAACATCCTTCTCCGCCTGAATCGCCTTGTCGCGACGCGCCTCCACATCCTCGCGCTTCACCAGCTTCCGCAGAGCATCAGAAGCCTTGATCATGTTATCGATACTGATGGCGTGGTTGGTCATCTGGCGGTTGATGTACGTGTACACGCTCGCCGGCGTGTCGCACTGCAGAAGCTGCGTCTCATTCAGCTTGAGCAGCGCCAACGCCACCTGGAACAGGAACGTGCTCCCGTCGTTCATGCATAGCACCACATCCCAGACGCGGAACAGGGCCTCGGCGCAAAGACAGTCGGTGAAGACGCTGAGAAACCACTGGAAGGTGAGTGCTTCGAGCTCGATGCTGAGATCGTCGAGGTGTTGAGACAGCTTGGGGAGCACATCCACGACATACTGACGCAACACCTGCTGGTCTGCGCGAGACGCAAGTAGACTATGGTCGTAGTATCCGGAGGGCAGGATGTTTTCGATGATGCTGGTCAGGATCCAAAATGCGTCCTCTGCTGACGGCATTATCAACAGCAGATTCGCCGCGATGAGATTCATGCCCTGACAGTAGCCGACCTCTGGGTTCCGGCGGGCGTAGGCTTTAAGCACCTCCTTAAGCTTCGACACGCCCGGTCCCTTGCGAAAGAAGATGTTGTCAGTCAAAGTGCGGTTGATGTCCATGTCGATCTGGGATACTGCCAACGGGTCATCATCTTCATCCGGTCGTGCGATGATGTCTTGATAGTATCCGGGGACACGAAGTGTGGTGGCGCCGGAGCACTCAGACCAGACCTTCGCGCGCAAGTTGACTGGGATGCCACCGAGAACCAAGTTCCTCAGTTCCGACCTCTTGGCGCGCCCGACCTTGCCTTTGTTCCCAAGGCCAGTGGTTCCAATCAGTTCGCCATCAGCTATGGCAGCTTCGGGGATGGTCATGGCCGGCCGCTCAAAGCGAGCCTCGGCAAGCGCGGCGGCTGCTGCAGCTGCAGCCTCACCATCGCGCTTCCTCTCCGCCCTGACTTTGCGCAAGAATTCGTTCCAACGGGCCGCTTTATCCCTCTGCAGAGAATCGTGCAGCTCGCCCATGTGTTGTAGAAGGAGCTTCACAGGTTCCGTGTCGTCCCTGACAACCGTTCCCGCGGCGGCATCAGTGTCAACCGGGGGCGTCGCCTCGCTGTCGATGACGGATGTTGTCGTGCTCGCAATCGGGACGAATCCTCGCTCGTCAGCTGCAATGAGTCCAGGTGACTTGAGTCCCAATTCTCCGCCCTCCAATACTTCCAGAGATGGCGCGCCGAGCGAGGGGGTGTGAGACAATAGCTCAGTCGGGAATGTGGCCAGCTTGAGGTAATCTTGCCATTTCTTGGGCTTCCCCTCACCCGCGCGTTCCTCTGTGGACGACGGGCTGCCAGGCCGTTCTTCACTACCGGGACTTGCGAGAACTTCCTCTTCCTCTTCAATCATTGGCGAAGTCAAGTCTGATCGGCCATTTGATAGCATCTCGGCACGGCCGCCTTGCTTAAAGTGGCGAGCCATCTGCGCAGATTCGCGCTGCCTCTTCTTCCTACGTTGATCGTAAATGAACCCGAAACGATCGGTCAGATACTCGCTTCCGATATAATTGTTGTAGATATGCGTCAAGGTCGGCGGTTGGGTCTCGGGTGGGAGTATTGCATCCATCTCGACGGGGCCGTAACTCTCCTGGCGGTTAGAGGTCGCATTCGTCGGGCTGTTCACCATAGTGTCCCACCTCTCCTGCGGCTGGGTCCTGGCGGTGGTGTTGACTGGAGGGGCATTCACGGTGCCGGTAGTTCGGCGCATGGCCATGAGAGCCTTGGGGCCGCCCGCCGTCGAGACCGCTCGGCTGGACTGTGAGGTTTTGGCGCTGGAAGTTGAAGACGCTCGCGGGGTTGACTGCGACTGCGGTTGGGTAGCACTATTAGACCTCCCGCGGTTGGGACCACCCTCGCGCGTGTTGATTGCCCCTCCGGCCACCAGTCTCATGAGGCTGGCTGCGACCGAAGTCGAGGCTTTGCGCGACCCAGGGGGTCCAGATTGGATGCTAGACGCTCGACTGGGTGTTCTTGGTGGGACGCTCTCAGGCGGTACGGCCTCGCTGGGTGGGCTGAAGAGGTCGTCCTGAAGGCCGGGCCGCCTGTCAGCGGTTGACTGCGCCCGAACGACAGTGGAGGGTCTCCCGATGTCGTCGCCGTTGACGCTGCTGGGCATGCTGCCCTTCCTGCTGGTTCCGCCCCAAAGATAATCCTTCCATCCTCTCGCGGTCCCTCTTCCATCAGGGTTGGAGGGCATGGATAGGTTGCTAGCGCGGATCGTTGCGTCGTTGCCATCGGTCTGCCCAAAGACGTTGACGTTGACGGTATCCTGCATGGCATCGCTCATGAGATCAGACAGGCCGCTCTCGTTGCGGCGGTTGCCGGGGCGTTCGGTCTTGACCTCGATTTCGATCGTCCTGAGTCTCTTCTCGAGGTCGAGATTAGATAAGCCGCATTCCAGTATAATCTTCCGCAAAGCCCTCTCCCTTTCGTCGGCCTTCCTCCTTAACTGGGCAATCTGGGCATCGCGCTGTGCCAGATCGGTCGCAACCTGCCTGACGAGCGCAACGGCTCCATGCCTGGCAATGAGACGCCCAATGTGCTCGTCGTCCGAGTGGTGAAGGGCACCAGGTATCTTGTGCGTGGAAAGGGGCGAGTCCTCGAACAGCGCATCGCGAGCCGCTTGTTCGGCAGAGGAGCCAGTCAAATTTCCCAGCAGGGAGATGGGCCCTGACCTGGCATCGGAGATTTTGCGTACGGTGGGAGGGGCTTCGGGTTCCGGGGTCAGTGGCGGAGGAGGAAAGGCGTGTTCGCCCCGTGGCGAGTCGGGGGAGAAGGAGGGGAAGCTCGTCAGCGACTTGTCTTCGGAGGCGGCGATGGAGCTCGCGGAGCTCGAGGGTTGGGAGTTGAGCTTTGATCGTTTTGCTCGTACGGTATGAGAGCGTCCGCTTCTCATGGACGTTGCGCTGTGCTGCGAGACGGAGCGCTCGAGAGGGAGAGTAGGCTCGGGGTCCATGTTGGTTGGCGGGCGATGATGTCGCCAAACGTCATGGTTTCAAAAAAGCAAGCGGCAGCAGGATGTTGCAGGATGCGTTCGCTGCTGTAAGCCTGCGACCTGGGCGAGACGATCCGATGGTTCGAATGTTTCTCTCAGGTTTTGTCGCGAGCTTCGTAGGAGGGGAGGGAGATGGAGATAGGAGAAAGGGCGAGGTGCGCAGGTAAGGTAGGAAATGTTTGGTAGTTCGTAGCGTAGACGCTAGAGCGGAGAGCCAAAGAATGGCGGTAATGTCGAGGTCAGAATTGGGAAGTGAGTGTAGTCAATGTGTGTTGTGTGTGCGTGGGTACGTGGGTGCGGATGCGGGTGTGTGTGTGTGTGTGTGTGTGTGTGTGTGTGGGCGGGACGATATCATTATGCAATCCAACTCTCCCCAAGCACCAGCAATGCAGCACATTTACGGCTTTGCCTGACGTGGACCAGGGGTGCAAGGCAAATGGAACCGGGGGGATCATCACCCAGCATGTCTGGGCCCCTGGGGTGCTAGCTGTGACTCTACCAACTACTCTATGTAATGTAGGTATCCGTACGGAGTAAGTAGCTGTGCTACAGGGCATTTTGCCAGTCGCTACCTTACAGTGGATAATAAGGGACTTCCAGGTTGGGTCCCGCAGCTTCCATCAAGATTCCATCCAGCCTCAGGTACGAGTACAAGCTCCGGCCCAAATTACCACCAATTTCACCCGTCTTAGCGCGACGATGATACGTCCCTTTACGTCCCTCTACGTACCGCACCGATGACATGCGCTCTGCGTCGCCTGGCGATTACCTCAGGCGGGCAGGCCTCTCTTCACCTACAGCCCACTGCAAATCCACAAAATGAGCCCTTGTAAGTTGTCGCGCAAGGAGAACATCCTCCTAACCAATTCATGCCTTACGTTATCCGTACATGCACATCTCGGGGCGTCAGGTCGCGATATTCAAGCCTTTTCTACTGCCTTGATCCTTGAGGGCAGGCGCCTCGTTTGTTGATCTCTTCCATACTGCGTAGGCATTCCCCCCATGCCTTGCCACATGTGCCACATGAATGTCAACATTGACACGTCTGAAGAAAAACATACTCCCATAGTCCGTACAAGAAAAAGAGCACCAGGTTCCCACGAGATGCAACGCGCAAGGGACATCCAGAAACACACCAGCCCAGGCCACTTGTCGCATAGCAGAGCATCCCTCAACTATGACAACTAACACTCTTACGTGCCCACGCCTGGCCGGCCCTCCCTCGCCCTCGCCCTCCTGTCCTCGTGGCCTCTTCCTCGTTCCCAAACCCAGACTTTTTTTTTTTTAGTCTTGCCAAGTTAGCCCTGCCCATACCCATGGCCATGCCCAGTCCCCAAGGGAGTCCCCTCCATGCTCCTCCCAACTCTCCCGTCTCAGCTCCACCGCGGATCCATCCTTGGAAACCTGAGAGAACAGAATAGGGAAGAAAAAAAAGCTGTTCCGTCTATTCCTCCATCCTTTCCTGGGCGCGTCTCTCTTCCCCTAATAATACAGCCTCACTATCGAGCCCTACACACCAAAAAAGCTCATCCCGTCACAACCAACTTCCCTGTCTTGGCGGCCTCCAACAACACCGCAGGCAATCCCCTCCCTCGAGCGCGCCTATCTCAACACTTGACGCTCTTCCACGCGGCAACACTATCTCGATTCTCGCGCGCACAAAACGTCGTCCCAACTTTCCATTCCGTCCTTGCGGGCCAACGAAGGAAGGGGGCAAAAGGTTCCAGGGGAAACTCGGGAAGGGGAGGGGACTAATCGATTTAGGGGTCCAAAAAAGGGTGATCTCCTTTGCGTGTGGACTGTGGATACCTTCCATTCCCTTCCGCTGCACCTCGTCGGGCGCATCATCCGGATTTTGTGCATTTCCCCCTTCCTAAGTTCCTAGCCATGTCCCCACGCACCAGACGCCCATGGACGCACACAATCGCACCGGTCCATTGGGCACCGAAAAGCCAAGTATCAAATCTCATTATTTAGCACCACACACACACACACACACACACACACAAAGTCATAAACCAATGTGCGACGATGCCTTTTCCCTAAGATTACCTCAGGGGGTTGCTTATTTTAACCACCACGCGATGCGGCGATAGCCATAATTTCCTGCTGCCCAACTCGGAACGTCACTCGCCCCTTCCCCCAAACCGGGAAACTGGTTAGTAGAAGGTGTGAGTGGGCGATCTAATTCTTTTCCCGTCCTGCTTGATTCGTTCCCATCGATAATTTCCCCTTGAAACCCAAGAGCATCTTTCCCAATGACATGACCGACTCAGGACACCAATTCATCATTCATATGGCGCCTTGACCATCATCTACGGTCCAACCGAATATACCTAGCTAAATACGAGGGGCACCGCCTCGTCAATTTCCGATATTCATCGTTATCTTTATCGATACTCTGTGCTCTGGACGGAGTACTCTTTAGAATTTCACGTGTCTTTCCCTTCACCAGAAGTGCATCCCTGAATCTTGATCCCATCACCACCTACCCGGAGGCGCCGGCTCGGCAACCATGACGACTGTGGAGTGGGGATCCGGCTACACGGAGCTTCACTTTGCCCATCAAGGTATTACTCGTACGCCGTGGCAGACAAACAACACAAAACACCTTAGCGTACCTTGTCTCAGGACATCACCATCAACATCTTCAAGCAGTATCAACCCAAAATTTGCATATACAGAGCCTGTATTCTCTCTTCCATGTTCCTGAAGCAATGCTTTCTACTGATCTGTACTCATACAATACTCCTCTTCGTTTCGTCATTAGTAGTAGTTCCACCCGTGCTGCCCCTTTTTGGTTCGACAAGTAACCAGAACGCCTTTCTTGTTTTCGAATCCCGGAAATATCTCCCATATGAAAAAATGATGAAATAAAAAAGAAGAACAACCCATGCTGTAGTACTCAAAACGCCTGATTTTTAGGCAGTGACCCATCCCGCATTGTTGTTACACGTCCCCCCTTCCTCTGCGCCTCAAGCGAAGCTATCCTCTGCGTTCCAACGGCTACTCTCATCAGCCTTGGCGGAGGCAGGAGCCCGCGCCGGTGTCTGCTTCTGAGCCGGCGGCGGCGGCGCCGCCTCACTCGGAGCCTCAGCCGCGGCTACTACCGGCGCAATAATCGGAACTTGAGCGACATCGCTAGGAAGCAGGCCTTCCTTCACCAACGCCTGAAAAGAAGGATCGCGCGCAAGCATATGCTGACGCTTGACGGGCAGCCCATCCAGCAACTTCAGCTTCTTGCAGCATCCCACAAAAACAACCTGGTACAGTCGTCGCCGGAGACGCGTCGTCTCGTCGAGACGCCGGGCAAACATGGCGTCCCTCTCTGGGTCGGCCTCGGGGAGCGTGAACGGGTCTGCGACGTGACCGCGGTCCGCCGACACGGTGACGTGGACCGGTGGGTAGAAGCCCTGCGTGATTGGATTGTCCCGCAGATCCAATTGCGTCAGGTGCGGGAAGTCCGTTAACAGCTCCGTGACCGTCGTCGAATCGGCCAGGCGGTTGCCGGCGACAAGAAGTTTCTTGAGCCGGGGGATGAATCGAATGGGTGAAAGGTCTGCGACGGCGTTGAAGTTGAGGTTCAACGAGCGCAGGTTTGGCATCAGCTGGCCGAGCCCTTCTGGTAGACAACGGAGCCCGCAGTTGGCTAGCTCGAGCAGCTGCAGGTTGAGGAAATCTACCTTGGGCTCGAACGTGCCAATGTAGTTGCCGGAAAGAAAGAGCTTGCGGACCTCGTAAGCCGAAGAAAGGAAGGAAAGATCCAACTGCACATCGCCCCGCTGCTCTCTCAAAGACAGACTATCCAGATGTCGGGCCTTGGTAAAACCGGTAAGCTTGCTGATGCGGTTCCTGTCGGCATGAAGCAGGCGGACGGCCGGCAAGCGACTGATATCAAGCTCCAGGATATCATTGTCGCCAAGGTCAAGGTACCGCAATCCGTCAAGACCTTGTGCGTCTTCGGCAGTAAATGTTTCGAGGCAATTCTTTGAGAGTTTGAGCGTCTGCAGGGAAGAGAGCTGTCCGAGTTCACGAAGCTCCGAAACTTTGTTGCCAGTTAGGTCAAGCTCGGTCAATCGATGGAGCTTGGTGCCATCGAAATCGACCACCTCAATCTGATTGTTGCGTGCCCGCAGCGACAACAGTCCATCATGCTGGTTTAAGCCATCCAAAGAGGTGAGCTTGTTGTTGTCGGCCTTCAAGCTCCGAAGATGAACGAGGTTCTTCAGCGCTGACAGACTGGACAGATCGTTGTTAGAGATGTCGACGTATTGCAAGTTGGCGAGATGATCCCATGACGTTAGCTCAGTCAACATGTTGTGCGTCATCTTGAGCTGTCGAATCGAAGCTGGCACTCCGTCGAGGTGACCGATATTGTTGTCCGACGCGTCCAAGCTCACCAAGCGGCCACAGAACTCGTCCAGCATATGGAGGCTCGACAATCGCTTCTCGCTCATGTCAAGTTCCGTGAAGTCCTCCCAGTATGGCTCAAAAGGCTCAATCTCTGTCAGGCGATCGACTAGCTCACGTACAGTCAAAGACAAAACTTTCTTAGAGCCGTCGCCAGTGACAAGACGCTGGTCCTCCACAACGTAGCTGACTTCAAATCCGAAGGATTTCTCATGGTGGTTCAGCGTGAATTCTGACATGGGACTCAAGGACAAGTTGCCAACGTTGTGGCTGATTATGGCGCTGGCGTCCGGATAGAGGCCGCCCATTCTTGTCTTGCCCGGAGTCTTGATGATAAAACTCAGACTCTTCTCTTGGTTCTTGGGAGAGACATAGCTCAAAGCACTGTTCTCGCCCAGGATACTGACTTGACGCTCGTCGGCATTATTGCCAATTACACTATCCTCTTCCCTTTCGTCGATTCGGGAGACGGGCCGTGGAACGAACGACTGGCCGCGGAGTGAGAATTGTCGTGATGGACCACGAGCTGGGGCGGTGCGTGGGCGGGGTTGGAGTAAAGTCCGGCGTGCGGTCTTCGTCAAGCTTTGGTATTTGCCTCGTTTGGACTCCTCAATCATCGAGTCCGCATCCACAAAACTGCCCTCGTCATCCTCGAGGCTATCGATATCCTCCGCGGCAACATCCTGTATGATAGAGGCGATGGGCGAAGAAAATGATATCGTCATTCGTCTCCGGGACGGAGAGGAATCAATGATGCGATCCTCGTCGAGCAGGATCTCATGCTCAACATCTCCGTCTCCTGCCTTGCTTCCAAGCTTGTGGAACTCGGTCCTAGCTTGCAACGCGATATCCCGAGGCAGTGCTGCATCGGGTGACAGCGTCACAAAGCCTCTGCCGGATGAGCTCCGAGGCGTGTCAATGGAGCCCTTGGGTGATTGTGTCATGTTTGCCTCCCGCTCTTCAGCCTCCTTCTGTGCTGTCACCAATCGCAAGTGTAGCATCTCTTTCGTGATATCGACGGACAAGTCGGGAATGCTTGCAAAAGGGTCATCTTCACTATCTTCGGATGGAATGACAACATGCGCACTTCTAGGTCGAATGCTCTCGCCCCTCCGTTTGATCCAAATGTTTTGCTGGCGATCAAGATACATGCTACCAACTTGGTCCGGTATCAGATGCGACACACTCTGTGGCGCGATCGTCTTCCTTGACTCGGAGCCTCGGGAGGAACCCGTGTGCATGGTACGGTTGGTAGATGCCTCAGATGAGTGAGTAGCGAAATCGTCAGACTCGATGGAGCCATCTCGTTGTCTATTCGGGTTCGCGGAGATACGAATGTTGGGGGGATCGCTGATGGTTTCGTCTCCTCCAAGATACTGGAGATCATCAAAGTTGTTTCTAGAGCGACTGCTCTCTTCAATCTGGCGCTCAACCTCCTGCGCAGCCCGGATGGCGTCTTGAGCTTGATCCATAGATCTGAGCGAAGATGTGATGACATCTCCCATGTCACTCAGCTCCTGGTACTTCTTGAGGTAGTCTAGAATCTCTGGATTCTCCTGGCGTTGCGGTGCTCTTTGCACTGGCTTTCCTTCACGACTCGGAGGTCGGGACAATGGTTCCCTGGTCGATTCGTATGAGTCGTCGAAAGCAGGGCTAGGCTCGCCATATTCGGCATCGGATTCCTCCACACTGGTCAGGCCGCTAGGGGCCTTCACGCCATTTCGGATCATGGCCATGATCTTGCCAGCCTCATCTAGGAAGTCCTGAGTTCTGATAGACGGCTTACGGTCTGTATCGATTGTAGCACTGCGGTCATTTCCACTGGATGTGAGCTGAGATGCACGGTGAGGGGTGCGTCGTACGGGCTGCTCTTCGTCTTCGGCGTAGTCCTCAAGCAAGTTATCCTGAAAGGGAAACTCGCCAGCTTGCAGGGAAGACCTCGAGCTTGGGGTTGGAGTTCGTGGCCGTAGCATATGGCGCGTGGCCAGCACGCTGGGATGTGCTCTTTGTTGCAGACTGCCTGGCCGGGCGTCTTTGCGCTTCTTGCCCATCATGCTCTGCATCAGAGCATGGGTTTCCTGGACGGTATCTAGAAGTGCGTACCGCTCTTCCCTCCCATACGCAATATCCGACTTGTGCAACGTCCTCCTCCGCTTCGGCGTCGGGTCCTTCGATGGTGAGGTGCGTGGTCGCTTCCCTTCTGATGCATCACGTTCTTGCGGGGTACCTAGCATAAATGCCTCGGCTCCTGCAAATTGGACGTTTCCTCTTTGAACGCTTCCTTCGCTGGCTGATGGGGTGTGCTTGGAAGATGAGGCAGTCGTAGTGCCAGACTTTGCTCGCTTCCTGGGAACAAACATCGACGCCTCATCTGGCACCGGCGAGCCCGCGACATGCTCGAGCCGTAGGACAGACTCCTCATCATCTGGTACATGTTCAGATCCTTCGTCATCCTCGTAGAATTGTGACTCCTCCTCAAGACGGATGGACAAGTCCTGAGTGAACTTGTAGCCTTCGAGGTCGCCCGCACCGAACTGACTCACAGATCGGGAGCTGGTGGTCGTTTCTTGTTTTGGCAAGGATAGGTAGTCGCCAGGAGCAGTGTGTGGTCTTCTGTTTCTAGCAGCTGAGGCAAATTCACCGCTAACAGATTGTCGTGATGACCCAGACGTTTGATCCTCGAATTGACTAATACGACGGAGCAGCGTCTGGTTTGTGAATGTATCGTACGGGCCGAAGAGTTTCAAAGGACTCGTGCTATTGTTCGTTCCTGCGGTGCCGGGTTTCTCCGGACTCGGATTTGGCACGCGCGGAGGTGGTGGGCTCTGTGAACCGAACCGAATCGAAGTGTAGCCGGGGGAGTACGTTCTTACACTTGGGAACTGCTTGGGCGTGCTAGCCTGAAGAGACTCTTCAGGAAGCATCTCGGACGTGTCAACGCCCATGCCAGGACTGAGACCTCTGTACTTGAAGGATCCATCACCAGATCGGCCACCGCGCCGAGTGTTGAGGAAGCCTCCCTTTCGCGCATACTCCTCGGTCGTCTCTACTCTGTCGCTGTCTCCTTCTTCTACACTGCCGTCCATATCAAAGTTGAGCTCACCCTGTGAGTCCAAAAGCATCTGATCTATGCGTAACCTCTCAAGACGATTCTGCAGCTGGTCGACGGGGAGTTCGGTCGGTGCAGACTTCTCTCTTGCTTCGTTCTCCTTCTGGCGCATCAGCGTGAGGACAATCGGACTGAAATCCTCATTTCGGATGACACTCTGTCCGCTAGTCTTCCGAGAAGCGTCGTTTGGTGGTGCAAGTCCTGAAATAGAAGCCGCCAGACTGGATTCCTGAGCATAAGTATTGTCTTGCTGCGGGCTGGCTTGGCTGAGATGGCTTTGATCGAGAGAGTCGTCGGTCATCTTGTAGGTAATGTGCGGCGCGCGTGGCCTAGGGCTCGGGCTCGGGCTTGGGTCCATATGGCTCCTGCCATCTGACTCGTCTTCGTCATCTGGGTGATCCTCGTGTTGGTGGTGGAAGAAGGGAGGGCTGGAGGGCATTGTCGTATTGTGTCGTACGCTTTGATCGGCCATGGAGTTATCTTGGGGGGGGGAAGGCGGCTTGAACATGTTTTCGAGACCTGTGGCCGCAGAACAGAAGAGATCACGCTGTTCGCCATATGCGACGTCGCCATAGACCAGCCTGCGCTTCCATTCCGGAGTGTCGCCAGCTCCTCGCAGTGGAGACGACCTAATGGATTTATGATGTACAGTATTATGAATAACAGAGCCATTTGTTGAGGCTGAGAATGCGCGACTTGTCTGACGTGATTGGTCGCTGGGCTTGATCTCGCGGGAAAGCTTCGAGGGGCCCCTTTGGGACAGTGGAAGATTAAACTCATTGGTGCTTCGTTCGCTCAGGACACCGGTACTCTTGTCGCTGTTTCCAGCACTCGAAGGTCGTATCCTGCTGACGGGGAGTGGTATGCGACTACCGGATCCTTTTCCGCTTGGTGTATTGTTATTATCTGTCGGCTTCAGAGGTGGCAGCTGAGCGGGAGAGGTCTCGGATCCAGCTTGCGAGGGCCAGTCCTCGGAGAGGGAGTCGAGCCAAGCATGAGCCATGGTATGTTGGCGTATGCGATCGGGGTTGAGGGACTTCTGGGACTATAAGCAGTCCATCGAGGGGGTGGCAGATGGTCTTCGTGAGTTGATGTCGCGGGGGTGCTAAGTTTTGGTGGCTTGAATGCGATTGAAGTCTGTTTACGCGGGCAATTGCAATGCAGAAGTCGCGCAGGAGAAAATGCAAATGAATAAAATGCAGAATAGCAAGCCGAAGAAAATGGCGAAAAGACTGCTGGCGAAATCGCCTCTGCTGCCTCCGCTGGATGCGGTGACGTTTAGTCGTGATGTGGAAAAAAGAGGTGTTGGGTATTGTTTCGTGGGGAACGCGGTTGAGCGATCGCGTTTGGGCCCGGCGTTATGTCAATCTCAAAAGCCCAGTGTTTGAATTTCCCCGAATAAACATAACTAATTCAATGTTATGCTTGATTGGCAGGCCGTGGGGTTGCTGTGTTAACCGCCACAGGCCAGCCTTTGAACCCAGGCCAGGCCATGGCCGTGACCCAAAATTCCCCGATCGTCCGATGGCGCTAATCGTTCTATCGAGTCGTGGGGGTAGCATCTCTTAGATGCATCATTCCGTTATCTGACTAGAGGTGAGGATCCGTGCTCACTGCTTACGCCACAGCACGGATTAGTCGGCAGGGACATCTCCAGCCACCACAGCCGCGATCGCGATAAGTCAATTAAACACGATATCACGTGGGGACCCGCCCAAGACGCGATTGTTCGTGCTGGGTCGCGTCGTCTGGTGAACGTGCACGGTCGTCGACCCGCCCAATCTGGGGCCTCTTTGTCTGTTCATGTTTGTGCGGTGCGCTGCATCTGGGGACATTCGCATTTCAACGACCGACGACCGCAATCCGGACCACCGCCCGGCGCCAATGCGACCGTAGCGCTTCCGACTTCCCCCCTCTTCGCCCCCGTTCCTTCGCTAAGGTTCATGACTTTTACGACGCAAGTCTCTCAATACAACAACGATGGACACGAGGAATGGCTGGAGAGTCCGACGACTGGTCGACGAACCGATATACTGCGAGGCTCCCTACGACGAATCGGACATGTTATGTGCGAGCTTTGACAACGAAGATCTCGCGACCCTCAAAGAGAGGGAACGCCGATATGAGGAGGCTGCGACTCGGTTTTTGCAGGGGCACACGCCAAGACTACTCTCTACAGTTCTAAGAGGCCCTTTTGAAGGACCAGACGCAAAAGGTTGGGTGAATCCATGGCAGTCAAGGCGGAAACCTGCGTTAGCTGTCACCCCACCAGCACCAACGCCTGTTGTCAAAACGACCACGGAAGTCGAAGAAAGTCATGCGGAAGAACAGGATGTTGAGGATGCAGCGGCTTGCCATCTACCGAGCCCGCGAAGCCTGGATCAACCCAACTTGAGCCCGCACCCTTTCATGGAAACAGACGAACTGGAACGAGTTGAAGCATGGCGTAATACTACGGAATCTGTCTGCGATACACAAGAGTCTGCTTGGTCATTAGAAGCCTCTCTATCGCAGCCTAGGTCACAGACACAACGTAAGCGACGGTCAACAGGATCGGAATGGCTCAAGCGGCAAGACACCAAACGACGAAAGGCAGAGGATACGAATGGCATTCGGGCGGGTTCGGCTGCTACCCAGCGCGATAGCACAAGCCTGAGCCAAAGTCTAATTCAGGAACAAGGGGACGCCGCCATGGAGGATGAGACTGCAAGCTTGGAGAGCTCTCAAATAACACCACAAACTCCGCGCAAGGCTTTCAATTCAAGCGCCAGTCGCTCGCACCAGGAACAACTGTCCCAAATGTCCAACAATTGCGCCAGTACTGCCCAAGACGAGATGCCAGTGCCGCTAAGCACCCCGATCCAGACTCCACAGTCCAATAGGAAGGCAGTGGTCAAGAGTGAAGACGTGGCTCCGCCCAGCAATAGTGTCACTGTGGTCATGGAAGAAGATCGTGGTGAATTCGAGACACAGCAGGACGAGAGTTTCTTATTCCGGGCAAGGCCGAGAAACCATACCCTCAACGCCTTGAACTCAAGTCCCTTGAAGAGGATGTCATACGGCCAAGACTCTTCCGCCGCTTCCACTTCTTCGAGCGAGAGGGACTCCCAAGGCGAAGTCCAAGAGTTGGAGGGTGACACTTACATGGCAGACGACACCAAAGCTACGTCCCCAGGGTCCAGCGAGGGGGGTGGAGAGTTGTCTGCCCCAGAGAAGGACACGGCGCAAGGAGGGGTGAGCCGCGAGCTTATCTCTGAACCCCTGAGCAGTGGCATAGCCCTCGATGCGATGAAATGCGACGTGGACCCCACGAGAACGACAGACGACGAAGTTCCAGAAGTAGTCGAGAGCCTTGATCAGCATTTGCCAGTCGAGACGGCCGCAATAGCAGAAGCCACGGATGTGACATCGAGTCAAGAACCGACGGTTGTGGCAATTGCCGCATCACAAGAGGGAGAAGAGGGGTTGCCTCTAAAAGAAGCAAGCCTAGAGCCACGAGCGCCGACGCCAGAAATACAGGCGGCTGCGCCAAAGGAACCCGCAAGCCAAACCTCTAGCTCATTCACGAGCATACTGCCAAGTCTCTTTCCGCCAAGTCCCTGGTCGAAACTGAGCCAGTTCATCATTCCGCGCAGTCCTCGTCCACCTAGCAACACGGAACAGAACCACCAACAACTCACCACTGTCAACATACCCACTGCTGGAGGTCCCAACGCTTCGCAGACACCGGCAACACCATTGACGGCGTCAACTGCGTACACTGTTGATCCTCTTGACGCACCTGATGGAACAATCGAACGACCTTCAACATACACTAAGAATAGAGTAGTGGACGCAGCCAGTCTTCACAACAGTCCTGCCCCCATACCAGCTTCACAACAGAGTCCGTGGAATATGGACGTGCCAGTCGTTGCTCCACCTCCGCAGCAGCAACAGCCGAGGGAGAGTGATGCAGTGAGCGCCATCGACCCAAGCTGCCAAAGCCCTTGGACTGCGAGTCCAACCAAAATTTGTCAAGCTGCTCAAGAAGCTCTCATGTCAAAGTTCTTCAATATTGCCGAACCAGCTTCGCCTTCTCCGCTTGCTCCCGCCGCTACGATGACTCCTGCAGGTCCATCTGTCGCTACTGAACAACCCAACACCGTCGATACGCTAAAGCCAGCTTCGCCTGAGGCTATCTTCTCTATCAAGTCCTTTGCGAATTTCCTGTCTCCATCGCCCGAGAAGCCACGTCGGCGTCTCAACAAGGCTCGCCCCAGTGCCGGTCAACTACCCAGTACACAAATCCTGGTCGCCGCTACAACCAATAATCCATGGCAAAACGTACCGAAGTCTACCAAAAGGGTCAGATGGGCATTAGTGCCCAATGAGGTCGAAGGCGAGGAATTCTTGGAAGGCCAAAATCCCCATACGCCTACGACGCAAAGAGCTTCTTCGCCGCCGCCAGAGACCGCAGTAGCTGACTTACCAACCGGTGAAGACGATCAATACAAGAAGCACTTCCAAGCTGTTTCACTTCGAAAGAAGCTACATCACCACCTCTTGCCTTCAGCATCTCAGCAAGTGTTAGAAAGTCCAGGTCCGATGGCCATGGCGGAGGCTTTTGTCTCCGCAGATTCATTTCGAGCACCTCCAGCCCCGGTCACCGGGGCCACCATGCATGTCGACGATGCCCCACCAGTGCAAGATGATGCCGAGACGCAAGAGTCCGCCATGGATGATGTCGATGACGTCCTTAGTCACTTGAACGAGTTTATCGCAATGGTCGATGTCGAAGCTGATCTCGCGAGAGCTGAGGAGGAAGAGCAGAAGCAGATCGAGGAACAACAGCAGCAGCGAACGAGCCAGCCTGTAAGCAGTGGCCTCGCACGCGGCTTCACTTTTGACGGGATAATGGACGCAGGAGTATGGAATTGAGCGTCTCCGGTTAAAGGAGATGCCGTGGACGATGCATCGTATATCAATGTGTTCAGATGCAAGCAAGGAGTAGCCGTGCAGGCGGCGTCATTATGCGAATTATTATACCAGCGAGGTGTTTGGGGTTCATGACAAAATACCAATTGATGGGTTGAGGAACTGCATTGCTTTGCTTGGTCTGCGATGAAAAGGTAGTTGCTACTCAGTCCATTTATTATAGTTAGCGGTTCTGTCTTCAGCAAGACCCAACCCTTAGTCAAACATAATTAAATCCAATAACTTCAGCGTTCACTCCTGTCGTGGATGATCACATGGCTGTTTGCCAGATAGCCAGGCCGTCAAAGTTAGCGACATTTCACAATGGCTCTCAGGGATGCGGGCTTCCACCTGCACACATGCTGCAATCCCGACACAGAGATTTCTTTCTTTCTTTCGTAGATACTAAACGCTTTCCCGCTACTAGTCCTCCATCTTTCCTCTTGAATCCAAGCAACGGAGAGCCTGGTCGCTTGCAAAGGAACATCCACGCGTTTGCACCGAGTGCTGTAGCCTCGATGCCAGCAAGTCAACACTGTCCAAGCAATCAGCACCCACAACCCAAGAGCAGCCTCCTAAATCCTTCAGAATGAGAGAAGGCAAACTTACTACATCATGACCGGGAAGAAGCACTCCAGCGTATACGCAACCCGATCGGCATAACTCGTGACCGGATTACTCTGCTGTATATTCAACGAGTGCGTAACCGTCCTCATCACCCCCGTCACAGCCAATGTCGCCAGCCGAACCTCGGTGCTCCGCACCAAATACCGCACAAACCCGATCCGCAGACCCGCCTGCGTCGCCGCCGCCCGCGTTTCCGCGAACGCGCTGAGGAGGAAGTAGGCGCTCACGCATTCCGTCATGGCGAGCGGGCAGAAGTAGCCAATGTGCAGGCCGTTGATGAGGCTTTGCAGGCTGCCGTCGGCGCGGAGGATGTGTTGGACGCGGAAGACGATGATGAGGGTCCGGGCGATGAGGATGGCGAAGAGGGCTAGCCAGAAGAGGGTGGTGAAGATTTTGCGGCGGGTGCCGTGGAGAATGTTGCGGAGGAGGATGTAGCTGTAGAAGGGGAGGCTTGCTTCTTGGACCTGTGATACTTCTGTAAACCATCGATAATGAGATTTAATACCCAGTCGGGGCCTCTCAGTATTATGCTTACCATCCAGAAAAAGTCGCCAAAAGCCGCGACGACCGCTTTCCTTTCAAGAGGGTAGTACGTCTCGTCGTAATAGGCATAATAGCACAGTCCGTTGGCGATTGCCCCGGCAGCGGATGAGATGATGGGAACGATTGCGACCTTGGAGAAGGATGTGATGCCGATGACGAGGAATCCGAGGAGGACGTTGAGTATCCCGACGGTACTCAACGGTGACCAGCTCAGCTCGAAATATGGCAGGTTGGATGGCGACTTCACAGTGCTGTCGAACACGTTGAGTGTACCCGAGGAACCCATACCCGGTAGTGGCTACCAGAACGCCGAGATTTGAGTGTTACAGAGCCTCATTTACAGGTATTTCCAGTAGTTTCTGGGCAATCCTATGGTTCGTCCGTGGCCGAGTTGACGTTGACGTCTGCTCTCAGAAGTGTGGCATTGAGGCGACCGAGCCATACATGAGTGTTCAAGTTTCCAACGCCTTGAGGAAGGCCTCTTTCTAGCTCGGCTATTGGACTTGGCGGGCCGACGGGCCGTTGCTTAGTTCCTTAACCGCTCCCGTTTACCAGCCTTTGAACAAGTCGCCATCTCCCTGGATCAGGAGAGTTCTTCTACCTTTTCACACCCAGACTCCGGAGAACCACGGAACATTGGGGGCGGGGTTTTCAAGACCGAGCAAGACTAAAGAAGATCTCGGTTTGACATGAACTTTGGAAGAGGCTTTATCTCGGAGCCTCTCCGTCGGGACAGTTGACGTGAGAAGAGATGAACCTAAATCTGGTCTGGGCCGGTGCGGTTGACGCCGCGTGCCACATGCGGCACCTCACGTCGGCACTGTTTTCAAAGAACTAGGCCGCAAGTAAGTTTGCCAAACTTGTCACCAAAAGACACTATGTCGAACTCGTATCCGTAGACGGCGCGGCTAAAAAAATGGGAAGACTAAATCGCGTGATCGAGGAGGCGCTGCCCAAGTTTCGACACATTTGCCGTTTGGTGCTATCCAGTTTTGAGCCTTTAGAGAGTCCCCCTTAAGTCCGATAGGATCCCCTTGATTGGGTGAGGATCAAGTATTGCCTTGATTGATCTTGTAAGAGACAGCTGTCGCAATCCCATGTACACGGTAGCTTGAATGGTGCCAGCGCGTTGCTGATGGCTCGTGAAGCCACAACGTCAACTCTAGTGTAAGAAGTCATTCATTTGTTGACTCAAGGTTTCGCTACATCCATGACCGTAAGCCAGGTTCTGCCTGGGTAAGGTTCATAATTATCATACTAGTCAGAGCTGCCTTTTCTTTCCGGCTCTTCGGCTCTTCCTACCGGCTCTTCATAAAATCAGTTGGCAAGACTTCAATACCCACCGGTCTTATGAGGCGATTGAGAGTTGCGACAAGGTGGTCTATATCTGCCTTTCTAATGGTTTTTATCGCCACAGAGTTCGGTTGGTATCTGAGTAATAGAGAGATAAAATGCACTCTCTGAACTCATATTCGATCGGACGGTACACACCCTGAGGTTCAGCATCAAAAAGAGACTGATATCCTCCCCTATCCCTCGTTCAGAGACCGATCAACCGCACCAAAATCTTTGACCTACGCCATTAGCACCGTTTGATTACCTCCCAGAACTGGATGATAACGAACACAGTTGAGTACATTCGTTCCCGAGCGTCTACTCAACCCAATTCTCCGTCTCTCCAGAGACTCGAGGGCCAAACATTGGTTCATCTCTTGTATGCAGAGTCCGCAATCACCACTGCTTCTATGCGACGGGTATTATGTCTAGTGCAACTCCTCCATAGGTTTAGACCACAGTCGAATGCCTAGTCTTCTCCCAAGATCGTGCAAAGTGGTATCACGTCGAGATCCCCCAACTCACGTACATTGAACTCACTGACAACCCACAGACTATAAGCACCAAACACAAAAGGCCGCATCTCAAGCATTGAATTGACAACGTAATAATTAGAAACTAAATTGCTTCGATCTCACCAGCGCAGTCTCTCCGTATTCCGGTAATCCAGACCTGACGTCTACCACCGCGGGAAGAAAGCTTCGAACCCACCCATTCCAACTTCACAAAACGGACTCCATCAATGACAATAAGTTCGAGCTACACTGTACCAACGACACTTGTCCCAGACCAACTCGTCGCCTAAACTGATATCATCTACGCTACTCTCGAGCGTTCGTCAAATCATTGACAATAAGATAAAAAGCCAGCTACGTGGTCGAGGCTGTCTCAGGAGATGGACGAGTGCTTCATGCACACGGAGTCTCGTCGATCACCAACCCCTTGGCCAGAGATTTCAAGTGATAAATTCGATGGTCAACCGTAGTGAGATGTCAAAGTGGCATCACTAGCCAAAAGTTCTCACGGTCATCAGGAGAAAACTTCATTGCTTATGATCCCCGCCACCAGTCTGCTAATTCCTCCTTCTCCGGCGCTCATGTCATCACGCCGGGAGCTTCTATCTGGCTACTAATAGAATAGACACATCACTTATCTCAACGCTCGTTACATGTACATGTACTATATCCTAACTAGAGAGTGGCTGTGTAGGAAACAAGTCCCTCGAATGATACTCAGAGCAGAAGAAAAAGGAACAGCGTATCTCCATGGAATAGCCGTCCTCGAAACCAAGAGACAAGTGCAAAGTGACTGCCGCAACTGCTTCCCCAGTCCCACAATACAGCGGAAGTATCAACTACTAGGCAATTGATATACACACCAGACGAGCCATCGCAGGACATGGGCCAACTAAGCAGTAACTTCCAACAAACGACTAGATAAACGGGCCTAGTCCCATACCCAGTCATCTTATCCCCCAACTGAGTGAGCATCGACCTCTGACCCGCAAGCCCCAGAACAGACAATCATCAAAATCCAGGACTCTCATCGCGCAAGGGGCATATCCAAACGTGTCGCGCAGGACACCCTCCGACTGGATGGATTTCCAACGTCAACCAAAGAGCACTGGACACACGTGTCAACCATGTTCCGGAAAGATACTGTACATAGAGAACGAGCTTGGCTTGATGAACCACATCTACTAAACCCAATCGCAAGTCTCCTCCTCTCGGTGTCTCTTTCCGGGTATTCTTACCCAGCGTCCCGGAAGACTTGACCTTGAGAAGGGTACACTTACACCCACAACGTACAAGCCCCTCGTCTTTTGGCCTTCGATGCGTGAGGATATCAATACATCTGATTCGAGCAAGCTCGGGCCAGAAAAGAGGGCTTGCTTTCAAGATCAAACGTAGATACGAACAAACAGTTCAGCCATACCGTCTATGGAGCATCACTATGACCCCCCGGCTCACCGACTCGCCAGCTTCAAGGTTCAAGGATTTCAATGCCCCGGCGAGCCGGCCTCCTGGGTACCACTACCTACCACAGCGGATGTGGGTTCCGGGTGAGATAGAAACGACCACATGGCGGATCCCCGACCTCTCCTTGGATAGGAAAACAAAAAGTCAAGAGAGGAGACCATGAAGGGCCAATGCAGCCCTGTGCGGCCGCGCCCGGACCTATCCGAACGACGAGAGGATCGGGGGTAAGGGGGCGTATGTGAACAGACAGCTCTTCCGTTACCGGATCCATGTGGCCCGCTTCATTGGGACATGAAGCTCCATGAGAATCACATACCATCAGCAAAAACCATGCATTCGAGTCTTCGACACATGCTGTCATGAACCTTTCCGCGGTTTTCCTCGGTGTACGGAGGAGTGTAAGACATGAGCCATGCCCCTGAATTGGGTTTCAGAGCGATCGGCAGGAACATTTCAGGGTCCCTAGGGCCGGTGGCGACCATGAAGCAGGCTGCGCCTCCCTGACAGTCCGGGGAAGGGGAGACGTAGTTTCCGGCAGAGCCTCAGGGGGGGCAATAAAAGCAAGGAAGAAGGGGCAAAGCTACAATGTGATGAAGTATCTTGACAAGCGATGCTCACAAGCTATGCTTCCCTCACGTGGGTGGGTTGATAGGAGTAAAAGGCTGAAGTAACCTCGAGGCTTGACTTCAAGCGGGCCAACCCTGGTCAGGAATATGCGACTGAAATCTAATCTGTAAATGCCCAGTACTTGGTAGCAAGGGAATTTCAGAGTCTAGGTTGTGTATGTACAAATGAAGAGAAGGATTCAACTTTGTCTTGGGGAAAGTCAAGCCGAATCGTCGGCATAATGCCTCAGACAGAGTACTCACACTCTGTGCCGAGCGCACCATCAAGACGCCAGGAGCACGCAATATTGTACGATTGTGGGAAACACAACCTGGTTGCCGCGAGGTCAGACAGACAGATTCGTCTGAACAGAGTACTCCATACCATCTCTGGCGCGGCTATCGTGCAGCGCACTCTGTGCCCGGTCGATCATACCGGAGGGCCGCGCGGGTCTCCCAAGCCTTTCCCACTAGATTTGCCATGTAAGTGCGCTCACAGCATGGCCAGGTCTTGCTCAGAGCCAAGTCGGGAGAGTTTAATGCAAAGACTAGACTTGAATAACTTTGGGCAGCCGTTGATGGATGGAAGCGAAAGAAAGGGAAGGGGTGGGCGATATGTTGGGTGTCTTGGGTTGATGTCTTGGTTGGGCCGTTGCGAGGCGGTCTGACGAGCACGTTGTTGGATGATTGGCGACGAAGGGTCCATCGGAGTTCTGGTAGATAAGTTGCGGATTGGGCTTGGCGCAAGCTTGTTCCTCCAGACTTCCGGGGACGGGGAATGGAACCCCTCGAGCAGGATTAGAAAAACATTGGCATCTGCAAAGGGCATTTTGAGACGTGTCAGAAAAGCGAGTTGCGTTTGGCTTAGACCGCAGATAAACGCTCCGTCCCGTCTCGACTGCCTTTGGCGGGGAAACGAATCCGCAGACCGACGAAACAAGGAGGGATGGTGTTGAAATCGAGACGAGTGGCCGGGGCCGGGCCTGTGAACCTTGTAGATACACAGGGTCGACGCTACTCTGAGAGATTGCCAATGGTCTAGTGAACCGATTGCGGCCTCATTTCCAACGTGGTTTGTGCCTGGTGATCGGTTGGTGGTGTACTTGATTGACTGATGCGATGACGCTGTGGAACATTTGCGATAGTCGTGCTGCGAAAGCGGATCCAACCGACCGCTATCACAATGACACCTGGATGGCTAACGATATAGGGACGTGCCGGTGAGTTGGTCGTCCGTCTAATCTGGGAAATGGGCGGCGTGTTCTTTTCGATGTCAGCAGGATATGCTCTTCAAGACGTGCCGCAGTGTAACCGCACCCACTGGAAGAAGGCTTCCATTCATTTGCTCTTCGCGGATGACGGATGGAACCATGTTCAGGCCCGGTCAGCAACCCGGACACTGGACAAAACAAGCGAGGAGAAGACAGCAAGCAGCCCTGGGACGCTAGCCAGTGGTGGAAGGGTTGGCCCGCACCGGCGATGTATGGCATCCTGGGGAAACATCAGGGGGTCCGGCAAAAAGGATTATCAAGGGTGGTGATAGACGCTAGGTAGTTCTGGTTCGGCTCTGCTTTCTGCTTGGATGGAACTGATAGTCCGCGTACGCGAAAGGCCGAGTATTCCGCCAACTGAGCGGCATGCCAATGCTCTTCATTGTGCCGCCATCCTTTTGCGCGACCAAGCACTCGTCTGATACATCAAATTCCGGTAGGCGAGACACTGAGAACTGTGGCTCTTGAGATGAGCCTGTAGAATCGAGGGAAACGACAACGTGCTCTCAGGAAGTTTCGGGATCAGCGGCCGGGCAAATTTGTCGTGTCGGTGAAAGGGAGGAGGTAAGGTAGAATTCGAGAAAAAAATCCAGCTGTGCCGGCATGGCGCGGTGTACATTGCGGTCTGAGATATTGCTAAGCCGGGGAACGGACCCGAGATACTGTCGTGTCCAGATAGGTGTAGTACGCAGTGACACTGCTTACATCATGGCGGCAGCCCAGTCGTTTTGCGGTGACGATCTGGGGTCTTCAATAACGTTAGGTAATGGTGGCTCTCGTGACCAAGAGCTAGGGCAAAGGCTCTACAAAACGTTGAACGAGGCTGCTGTTAAGAAGCTGCAGGGTAGGCGACAAGCAAGATGCAGGCAGATGGAGGTCAGCCGGTTGATGATCCCAATGGCTGAAGGGACGAAGGTTCGACTCGTCCTTCTTTGTGGTCCGTGGGAGTAGGGATGGCTGTTGCTGGCTGATGCCAGGGCTTCTCCAACCGTTTGAGCCCAAGACCCAAGCCTCTGTGGACTCTATGCGGTCAAGTAGGGTGCGGTGTTGGTGAGTCTTGACCTTTGGGAGTCAGGGTTGAGCCAAGGTCGAGGTGAAAAGCTAGGAACGATTTTGGGCTAGCGATGCCCTGGCATTGGTGAGGATTGTAGGATTGTCCAAGACGAGCGACTGGGAGGATGACTCCGGGAGCCAAGTTAGCAGTGCCGTGGACGGCGTCACACCGTACAAGCGGGGTTTGGACGAAGAGCTGCTGGGTTGATACCGGAAGCGACTAGGGTAGCGCAGGGGCGCCCGCAGCCATGGGAACGAGAGCGACGGGGGATGGTCATGTTTCGATTGAGTTGCGCAAAGCCAGCTGACTGCCTTGGGTAGAAGCAACGGTGTTATTCTGGTTTGCGATGCGATGCGCTGCGGTGTGAAGTAGAGAAGATGAAGTGTAACATCGCCGGTGATTCGGGTACTTGTTTGCCTACTTGCTGGCTGTGTCATCAACATTGATAAGAGAATCACATCTTTGAGTAAGCTGTCCGTGAAGACGAGAGTTGATTCGACCGGATCATGGTCGACCAATACGTGTGGTTTCGTCATGTTTGGGAAGCGAGGATGAGTGAGGGTCGGTTCAAGACTGCGAGGTGGTGTTGATGTCAGAAATTGGGTTGGCATCCGCTGCCGCGCCGACGGGAGCAGATCCAGAGGTTGTCTCGATGCTTGTGCTGACTTTGTGTCCATATGTTATCAAGGCAAGCACACAAGTAGATACTATTGCCATATCAGATGTACTCCGTAGCTTCCATTAGCAACCTGGAAGCTTCCATGGAAAAAGGATATGGAAAGCGCCAGCTGTCCTGAATTGAGCGAGTGGTTCTTTCCCGTCGACGGTCGCGTCGTAAATGTTTCCTCCCCCAGCTGCCACTACTTTCCACACGTGGGAGTGACAGAAGTACTTTTCACGTGTGATTGCTGGGAAAGTGTACATGGATGTCAGTCTGAAGGGTTCCCGTCCAGTGCGTCCTTATCCTCGGTACTTGGTCTGCCGCCTGATCAGCCCCTCATTTGGATGTACCTTCCCAGGTTGTCTTGGCCTCCCTATCAGCGGCGCCAGGGCCCTGGACATCCCTGCTCGTTACGTCCACTCCTCCGCTCCGAGGCGCCGCGCCGTCTATCTGCTAGAACGGTGGCCCCGCTGCTATCAGCAGAAAAGGTGCGAACCCCAATCCCCAAACCCCAACATGCTCTCTCCCGCTTTCGATAAGGTAGGTAATGACGATGAGGGAAAGAGACTGACTTTAGTATGTTAGATAAGGTAGGGCATCTCCAAGTACTATCGTTCACGATTTGGCTAGGAGGCTACCTACCTTTGAGCTTCCTTGAACGTGGTGGCCGGGCATGGTGTGTTTGCCCCTCGCGCGCACACTCATTCTCATCCCCTCCCTCATCAACCCCAACTCGACGAGATGCCTCAACTTGACTGACTATGCAGTTGACTTTGCAGGACCTACTGGTGCCAGATACTCGTCTATCTGCGGAGTAATCAGTGACGGATCTTTCTGCCCAGTCTCATGAGATCGAGACCCAAAACTCATGAGATTTGAGCATCCACATACCTTACGGTACTCAGCCCACAGGGCAGCAGCAAACTCCACTCGCAAGCCCACACTCAATCCTCCACCGCCCACAGACGCAGATTCGCGGGCATCGCAGCGCAGCGAGCCCACGCCGCACACTGCAGCGCATCGCATCGCATTGGCCCTTTCGCGCTCTAGGTATCTCCAGACTCCCACTAGCATTGTATCCTTGGGCCATTGGAGGACCTCTTTTGCTTCTTTCCGTTTCCACGCTGGGCACTGAGACCTTGTCTGTGGCTGCTTGGTGCTGTTGTTGCTTTTTCATCTTACACGCCTCGCTCTCTTCTCACACCACCTACTTTATCTTACCTTGCCGTACGGAGTACAGAGTGAGGTATCTTCTCAGCTCTCACTCGGTATCTCACTGGCTCAATCAATCCAAGGTATGCTCGTTGCCAATCACCACTCACTGAGACACTCACTCACCCGGACGGACTCTCTCACTTTCCTCGAACCGAGCCTAACCTACGGTAAGCACATTTGAACCAAAGTAAGGTCCCTTAGGTACCCAAGGTATCCGTACTCCGTACTCCGTACACAGTAACCTAAACTCAGGCACCTTGTAACTTGTACCCCCCGGCCTTCTCGCCCCGACCCTAGGCCCTGGCCGTTCCCCTCTGGCACGCCGCACCAGGTCACTCGCTCACTCGCCTCCTTGCCACTGCGGCCTGCCTGCGCCCACACCTTTTTCCCAGCCCGCCCACTTTACTCTTTCCTCTCGCCTACGCCGCATGTCGTGACGTTCCTTTCCCTCCCCCCATTCTTACGCCTTACCGAACCTCCCACACACACCACACACTTCCGTCACTCACTCACTCACTCACACGTCGGAGACGCAACCACGCCGCTCTCTATTATCCCTTCTGCCGCCCCAGAAACAACCGGCGACCAATCCTCCCATATCGTCCAGACTCTCGCCAGATGTTTCCCTCATGTCCAGCCCGCCTCGTAACGCCGAAAATGCCGCACCCGCGACCCTGGTGAGCCCCGCGCATTTGTCGTCGTCGTCGTCGTCCACTCCCAGTTCCGCCTCTGCCTCCGCCTCCGCCCCCATCATCTCCAGTCCAAAGTCCAGTCAAAGTCCCAGTCCGAGAGATCCAGCTGTCAAACCGACTGGT